GGTATGAAACGTCTATAGAAACTTACGAGGCCGTTAAACGTGCGTAATTGCTTGACGGTGGTCGGTTCCGCGTAATCCAAAATGGCCGCTACTTTGGTCCTAAGTGGTCGAATGCCTTGAGCATCTACAGTGTGTCCTAGGAAGTCTAACGAGTCAGTTCCAATATGGCATTTCTGAACGTTTACAGTAATGCCATGTTTTTGTAGTCGTTCGAAAACAAGATCCAGATGCTTGAGATGTGTTTCTCTGTCCCGACTTGCGATTAGACAGTCATCAACATACGCACGAACGAAGTTGAGACCTCGAAAAACGTCGTCTATGAATCTTTGGAATGTTTGAGCAGCATTCCTTAGACCGAAAGGCATTCGCAAAAATTCATAGAGTCCGAAAGGAGTTATGATAGCTGTTTTCGGTATGTCGTCAGTAGCCATAGGGATTTGGTTATACGCTTTAACCAAGTCGATTTTCGAAAAGACAGTTGTACCTTTCAAGGTAGCTGTCAAATCGTGAATGTGAGGCAACGGGTAACGATCGAGAATGGTTTTCACATTCAATCGCCGATGTTCACCACTTGGACGCCAATCGTTGCTGTCCTTTTTAGGGACCATGTGCAACGGAGATGCATATGGGCTGTTTGACGGTCGTATGATTCCTAAGTTTATTATGTGATCGAACTCGTTTTTTGCCAACCTTAGCTTTTCAGGGGCTAGTCGGTGTGCTTTAGAGAATTCAGGTGGTCCTGTAGTCGTGATGTGATGTGTAACATTGTTGGTTACACACGGTTGTTTCGGTTGAGTTTGTTGTATCCCAGGGTACTTATCCAGTAGTGGTTGAGAAAGTGGATCTATCGTATGCTTAGTTGTGACTGGAGATAATCTGCAACCAGAAAAAGAAGTTACGCAAACGGATAAATTAACGCTTCCGTCTACTAGCCTCCGTTTCCGCGTATCGATGATCAGATTATGGTGTTGTAGAAGATCCATACCAATGATCGGCATAGAAACATCTGCAACAACGAAGATCCAGTGAATGTGTTTGCGTAAACCCACGTTAAGGTAAACGTACCTTTTGCCATACGCGGCTATAGGTTTTCCGTTTGCCGCCTGTAAGTTTAAGGCCGCATCGTGAAGCCGGTCGTTGGGATTCGCTGGAAGAACGCTAACTTCTCCGCCAGTGTCGACGAGGTAGCGGACTCTCGTTGTCACATCTGTGACGAATAACAGACGGCTTTGTTCGCCGGCTACGGTTGCCGTTAACGCGTGCCTGCTTGGAAGATTCCCGAGTTGTTTTTCGAGTCAGTTGGTTTTGTGTTGGGAAAATTGCAGGGTTTTCTGCAATTTCTAGAAGACTTTCCATACTGGTTATGATACCAGCACCAGTCGGGGTTATCTGTCTCTCGTGGTCTACAGACAGATCGCTTACGTGAAATGCTTCTACGTGGTGTGCGCGATCTCTTACGGTCGGTACGAAGACTAAGATAACGTGTAAGTGTATTACATAACTCGGTTGTGTCATTCTGAGACGTTTGAGACTGTTCTTTGACTGTAAAAACCTCAGTAGTAGGAGATTTTGTGATTTCTAATATGCGATCGGCAGATGCAGTTAGCTCGTCTAAGGCGTTGTTGGGGAACGAGACAAGCACAGCTTGCACATATTGAGGATGTTTAGACAAGAAACGTTTTTTAAATAGACTATCATCGAAGGTTCTTTGGCCTATAACCTCTCTCATTCGTTGCAACATGTCCGTCGCAGAAGCGTGTTGCAGGTCGATGTTATTGAGGAGTTGGTCTAACCTATGTCTATCGCTTAGGTCTCCGCGTTTAAGAATAGAACGTTTAAGCGTTTCGTAAGGCTCAGAAACATCACTAGTTAGCATACTAGGTGTTACGTACCTGTTTAAATCCCGCGGTAGTGTCTTGACTACTGCGAGGAATTGTGCACGTGTGTCGATCACGCCGTACTCGGAGAAGTCGACTTCTGCGTAGCAAAACCAGGCTTCGATGTTGTCGGACCAGAACGGCATGAGTTGGAACGTGGGTGGGGACATGGTCTTAATCTTAAATACCTTAGGATTCTGTTCGGTCATAGGGGAAACTTAAATACGAGAATTCGAAGGAAAAATATATAGATATCCAAAAACGCGGGGGAAAATACCACAATGTATAAACAATAGAAACAATAAGGCAATAATATAGAAAAATCCCAAAAAAGAACAGACTCACAGTTGCAATTAGGTGTACCAAGTCACGTCGGGCTCACCAATGAAGATGGCTTAGGTATTCAGTGTTTGACAACGCTTCTACCAGTAACACAATCTAATATAATTCGTAACCACCCAGAAAAGTCAAAAGACAGAGTCGAGGAGATCGGAAGAGTGTATTTGGCGATCACCGACATATAGGAATTGTCTGATCTAATCTGGCTAGCGGTTGCGGTAGATGTTGAGCACGGCGTTACCACACGTGATCTGGTGTGGATGCGTGACCGAGCGCCTTCAGCTAGTTGAGTCCATTAAAACATGTGGTCAGCATCCAATGTCGAATACTTACAGAGCTATTTATTTTGGGGAATCATTTACCGCTACAAGCCCAACAACTAATCGATGTAGACCCGACATCTGTATCCAGAAGTGAAATGTTTACAGAACATAGAAGTTTAGATCAACAGATGCAAACACAGTGGTCTAATGGTTTATCATTCATCGTCAGACTTCAATGACCTTAGATTTTAAACCTGATAAGGTCGTGGACATACTGTTTTTTGTCTCATCCAAGGACAAAATAATTAACCAATGCTTTATGGTTTTCATTCATTTTCTAATGACGTTTATACAACGGTTCCAATGAAACTCTTACAATGTTTGATATGAAGCGTTCAATGTTTGACTTTCATCATGGTCATAAGACTTTACTCTTTGTTAATTTTAGTTAATTCGTGTATTCCTTATCATTTTATACCTTCATCAAGTTGAACCCAAGTCTCTTTCTGTTGAATCCTTCTTTATCTCTTACGTAACCTCCAGTTGATACTGCAAAAGTGTTGTGATATTTTCCAGTTCATCTTAATAATAATGACGTGATAATGATTCTCTTTTTTTTTTATAGACTAGTACATTTTGGTGAATTTACTGTGAATACAAATTTGTAAAGTTCTTGATAAATGATATTACGAAAGCTCAAACAAACTTTCTCCTTGTTTGTATAATAATGCAAAGGGATTGTTATGTTCGTTAGGAAATCATAATTCCTAAGTATGTGTGTGTGTTCGCTAATCATTTTTTTAGCTGGGGATTGAAGAGATCGTTCAAATCTTTTGAAATCAACCTCTCATTGTTCGAATATTATTAACATACTTTAATAATCATGAGATTATTTCCAGAAAATACGAAACGCTAGCTCATCGATATTTACTTAACGCAGTAACTGATTTGGATTTAGGAAACAGTCATGATTCATATTGGAAAGCTGTTCAGTGTAATTAAAAAGTCAGTGAAAGTCAAGGTGTTTTAGAAAACAGTTTTGATTTTGTTTTTCCTTGTATTAAATCTTTATTGTTGACTAAGCCAGTTCTCCTTAGCTGTTTACAACGTGTAGTAAGTAGTAGTATTTGTCATTAGAACTGAACAATTATACAAACTTCATATTAGAAATATTAATAGTAATCTGAGTTACAATGTGGATCCTGTTTGGTAACACGCTAGTTTCCTAAATGCTAATAACCAAAGGCACAATCAGCGGAATGTTACTCTCAGACACTTTAACCTAACCGCACTAACGATATTGGTGAGACCATCACCCGCAACTCAATAGGACTCCCAGAAATAAACCTGAGCGTTTGTCAGAAGCCGAAGTACCTAAACAAGGACACTTCTGGCCCAAAAGTAATTCATTCTGCCATACTGAGGGGAACACCCTCAGTCTTGGCAACATGAATCAGCGTGATGTTCTCACATTTCCTAAGCCAACGCACGGTACCAGGAAATTGGAAGCTGGCTCACATTACAGCTAAGAGGATGAACTGGCACTTCAGGAGGATCTGATTCGACTTCAAAGTTCGGTAGACGACTCAACTTTAGCACTTGAAAGTGTAAGGTAGTCTATCTGAGGCGTGTTATATACTACATCAACAACTTAAGCAATTCCTCTCTAGAGATATTCTAAGTCGAAAAGATCTGGGAATGTTGGTACACTTACGCTAGATGTTTCAAAAATGCCTTTCGAGCAAACCTCACACTCGTAAAGTTGGAGCACACTTTTGGAAAGTTTCACGGAAGGATTTTTCTACTAATTCTCAACGATTATACTCGATCTCACTTAGAGTACGGAAACATAGTATTTCCTACCTCACTCTAAGAGGATATGAACGCACTGAAACGTAATAGCGAGCCACGAAATCAGTTCGGGGATACAAGTTCAAGCGTTATGAATGATACTTCCAATCACTGAAGCTGTGCCACATTACATCACATGCGTCTTAGAGGAGACCTTCTAATGAGTAATATCGTCCTTAACGCTTCTGGTCATCCCTTTAAACAACTACTTGAGCTCAGACCCAAAACAAATCCAGAGACTTGAGATAAAAAAAGCAGAACGGACTGTAAACACAGCTTCTCCTCCTTAAGAGTAGTCCAATACTACATTCATTTGCCTACTGATGTTGTCTAAGCGACTTCACTGGAGTCCTTTAAGAGGAAACTTGACATATTCTTGAGGACTAAGGACAGTATCTCGCTTTAATCTAATAATTCCCTTTTTTCCTACTTCCCTTTTTTATATTTTACTGTTAAATCAACTTATGTTCTTACCCAAAGGCACTGGTGGTCCACTGCTGTTCGATACGGAAGCCCGTTAAACGAATGCCTATTCAATTCCGTCCAGAACCATTTGAAAGATTTAAAATGAAGAATTACTTGCAAATACTATAATCTTAGTTTCATCGTCCATGATTACATTTTAAGAATGGTTTTAAGGGTTTGAATTAGTTGTAAAGCGCTGCATTTAGCCTGCGTGGTTTTGTTTGAGTTTCTGTGGCTCATTGAAATGTGGGGGTTGACCTTATTTCCAATTGACGAATTTAAAATTGCTCTCTGTTTCTGTTGTGATGTGCCATGTTGTATGTCGAGGCGGTGGTAGGTTGCAAAATCTTGTGTTGACCAGAGATATTAACGCCCTGATCAGTCTTATAAATAAAGGTATTCTTTATTCAGAAAATTATATTCAGGTTATGATATAAATACTGTCAATCAGTTTGACGAAACTGCACTTTACGTCGCATCATATTACGGCGATTTAGAAATTGTTGACGTTCTTCTCAGCAGAAACGCTGATCCTAATTTGTGAGTTATCAAATAGCCCAAAATATGTGAATGGCTATTTATTGTGTATTCTAGACCTACTGTAGAAGGAAATACTCCACTTCATTCAGCTGCCTTTAGAGGACATACAGATGTTATGAAGCAATTACTCGCGCACAGAGCAGATGAAAGCTTAAAAAACAGTTTAGGTATGACTGCTTCTGACCTTCTTGAGGCCCATCAATCTACTGAAAAGTGTACTAAGTTATAATACGATGAGAGACGCTTCTAAACTACCATGCCTCATAGGTGATTCATCAAAGTTGAAAGCTGAACAGAGCCCAAAACTGATAAAGTCAAACCTTCGGTCGGTTGAGAGACTTCGAAAAAGATACACAAAGAACAACTCAAAGTATATAACTTCATTTTGTTCGGTAATGATAATGAATTTGTCTTTTATCCATTAATCACCTTTCAGTTCAACCTTGATCACCTACAGTTTCCCCGACAGTTTAATTCGTTCATACCTGTTCATCGCGTTTCTGGTGTAGAGCAGGATATATCCATAAATTTTCGCCCTCCGAAAGAAGAGTTTTTTAACAGATATTGGTAAGAATGTTTGATTTGTTCACTATATTGGCCGTCTATGAATAAGACATTTAGATCTGGAATTTGTAAACTACTGTTGATACAAAGTAAAAATTCACCTTTAGCTGAACCGTTTTTGTTTATAATGTTAGAAGTTATTCATACATCTAGTCGTGTATTCAGGACGTAAACTACTAGTCCGTTTGTTGGATACAACGTTTCGTTAATTCATGAACGTGGTCAACTGAAATGTCATTGTCCTACATCATTCAAAGGGTAAATCAATAGATCTAAACTGATATAGACCCTGTCAAATATGTACTTCGAATCCAATGTTTTCAAATCAGTGAAGAGAGATGAAATCAAGAAGATAAACAGCAGAGTAAAATTAATCGTAGTATCAATGAGAGAAACGAAAAAACAGTCTAAACTATATTTTGAAAATGAAGAAATAAAACCGTAGGATAATATTTGAACCAAGATTCAATAGAAATTTGAAAATAGATACTTAGCCACCGACGTGATCTATTTGTAGCCGTGTCTCTTAACCTTTTCAAAGAAAGAAATTCTCCGAATAGGTTTTATAAATAATAGTCTCGTCACATCAAGATTGTAACTTGAACAGATACGCAATAATGTCATTTTCTGTGCTTTTTAACAGTCGCTGACAATTTGCAACGTGGCAGTTCCTAGATTAAAATTCAGCCATTAATCTGTTGTCAGTTTTTAAAGTCTGTAGTATAGAAATTTGACCCTACTGTTTTTCGGCTTTTAAAGTTCGACTTTCATGTGTTATGTTTATCGTTTTAGTAGTAGTGACAGTATAGCCCAGAAAAGCAGTAAGGTGAACACCTAGTATCAAGGATAAGCTTGGTAGTTTATAATTTCCGTGTCAACAAAGCTTTGATAAATTCACAGAATAATCAAGCCGATGTCCTACAAAATCGATATGACTAGTGTTTTTGTCGACGTTTATACTTTTTCTTCCGAAAATGTGTCCATGGTCCGCCTTTAAATGTGCATTTTAAAGTACACTTATTGCGTATAACGGGTATACTAAGCAGGCACACATATAATTGTTTACTGGATAATCTTTGGAACATATCGTTTCTTGGAATATTCTCAGATATTCATGTGCATATTTTAACTGGAAGCTTTACTCAAAATACTTATGTTTACTTCATTCAAATACATATCGAATTTCAAAGTGTTTCACTTATCTATAAGAGACGAGTGCTACTAGTGTGTTTAGTAATTTTAATTTGGAAAATGAAGACAGAAGCTAAAAACTAGCTTAATTGAATCTTCGTAGTGAATAGTGTCTTAGGTCTCGCTTCGACATTAAGTGAAAAACAGTATGGCAAAAATCTTCACTCAAAAGAGACAAAACATCATGTCTTAGCATCGACTTTCTTTTGTCTCATCAGTATTCTGCAAACTTTTGTTCATCTTTTACTTTTATTTTAAATAAATCAAACTATAAATTATTACTTTAATTATATCCTGAACTATTCTCACTACTATCTCTTCTTCAGTGCTTGGTCGGACTCATTGTTATACTTTACACAAGTACAGTTATTTAGTTTACCAACATTAAAGATTATATATATATGCCTCACATCCATCTATTCGTTAAACATTTGTATTGGTTGTCTTAATCTTCTCATTGATGTTTAGGACTATAATTGATCGGTTTCTTCTAACATCTGTAATGATGTTCGTTTCAATAAGATTTATATTGTTTATTTGCTCAAAGTTGTAAAATCGACATTGAAAACGTTTCACTGAATGTACATATATAGTAATTTATATCTCTCCAAGTTATTCTGGATGGAAGGATATGTGTCCTTAAAAAATTAGGCTTTTTTATGGGATAGGGATCAAAATGTTCATTTACTGGAGTCGTAAATTAGTGGCTGAAGTAACCAGCATTTAGCTAGCTCAGTTCTGATTCAGATCCTGTCCCAAGCTGTCTGGTTTGAAAAAACATCTAATACCACTATTTTCTATATTCGAAGTTGTATTCAGAATCTGATTTCACAAGCCTGTACATTTTAGGTGACTAACATTAATAAAATCCCGCGTAGTGTAAACATAGACACTAGTAAGTAAACCACACATCAATGTTACTAATATGAGTTGTGAATTCGAGAAAGATATCCTTCGTATTACGGGTTCTAGAAGCCTGGAAAATGTGTATACAGTGAGGACTCTTGACGATAAAATTTTGAAGCAAATGTCGTCAGTGGAGTGTAGGCTTTTGTTTCAGATACGTTTCGGTCCGGTCTGAAGGTGCGCTGTTTTTGCATGATTGTATAAAAAAGCCTGGGCACGATAATTACTATAATTACTTCAGTCTTCTCCTTAATTTTGCTTTATTTTGATGTCGTAAATGTCTAGCTAGACAGCGACTACTTTCTTTGTGGACGTTCAACGTCATAAGCATATCTTAAATCGCTTGATGAAGTATGTTATTCTCAGATTCCTTGAAGTTAGATTACTTTAATTACAATCGTAAAGTAAATATTCCTCGTAATATCCATTAAGAATTGATCACAATAAGTAATAAGCAAGAACTAACATAGAATAACAGCTGGACCTTCTCAAAGATACATAGCATTGCTAAGCTTCGAACTTAGTTGTAGTGACACATGTTTCTACGAAGCTTGTTGGTAAGCTTAACTAAATGCCGACATAGTTATGAGATATATTCAATATAACTTACTGATTCTAAGTGTATGGTACAAATTATGAAAAATATCTAATTTATAATCAACTTTAATCGTTATTTAGATATATATTATGACTGCTAAGTATTAACCTCTTAGTTACATAAATCCAATCGTGTGTACATATTTTCAACACATCTGGTGTGTAACAAACTACATTTTATGTCTAACTACTCCTACTAATCCTACTAACCATGACGGTTTTGAAAATGATTATTTCTGGGTGTAATGAATAGACGAAATGCTCTCAGTTATTATGGTCAAATTATTCAGATGATCAGACAAGCATTACTTTATACAACCACAGTCTTACTATTTTTTTCAGACCGGTAAATAAAACCATTAACAAAGACGTCAAACTATTTAGTCGCTTATACTTAACTAAAATAAAAAAGAGTAAATGCATAAATAGTTGACGTTATTTGTAAATATTAGATAATCAGCCAACAGTAGTGGAGAAACAAAATTTAACAAAATAATAGTATCCCTTATTTGATGCCTACTTTTTAATTAAGCTTTTATTAGGTAGCATAGATTGTTAGATTAGAAATTATAATCATAAAGTTATTGGAGTAATAACTCAATGGAACGTTACGTTACAAGGATCACGATGTAACGATAGATAGCAGTATGAAACGTAGTAATAAAATGACTCAGAAACAAAGGATGTGGTTTTGATTCAATGCCTATATCGTTTGTTTATTCTCATTATGTCAACTAAAAATTGAATCACTATGTTTTTTGGAGTTCATTATTCATTTGAACACATAAATATTGGTACAAAGAGGAAACGAATAGATGTGCGCTACACAAGTCACTGCATGGGTACCCAGACAGAACCAGGTTATTTCCTTAGGGAGGCACGCTCGGAGCCTCTCACCTAGTGGAGCAATGTCAGGAGATGCAATCCCATGGTAGTCGGTAACCAATAATTGGTTCATACGCCAATTATTCCCTTAGGATCCTACAGCTCATGTGCACCACTGAAATGAATCAAAAATGTCAGCATGCATTAAATGAAGATAAATAAATAAGATAAGTAAACAAGATAAAAGACTGAATTCAAGGAGGAATGTATTTGTAATTGAAAATTTGTGTTATTTTAATTTTCCAGTCCATTGTTTAATGTATTCAGATAAGATAACTGATTTGAAACCGTTGAATGTATTATCTGTTGATTAGTTAATATGATATAGATAGATCAATTGAAATAGGGAGTTCAGGTTTACTTATTAATCATTAGTTGCCATGGGACAGCTAGTTGTATTCCATCTCTCATATTAATACTGTTTGAATTAGCCCATATATGTAGGGCTTCGGCTGTTAGTCGTGCTTTGTAAGAATTAAAGCCTTTTTGAATGATTCTTGCGCCATTGAAATCAATTGTATGACCCGATTCAATCGAGTGTTATGCCATCGCTGATTTGTTCTCAAGCCTTCTTACATTATCTGATGATTTAGGAATGTGCTTTAAGCACAGTTTGTGTTCTTTCACCCTCACATTCACTTGCCTTGATGTTTCACCTACATACGTTGCATTACAGTCATTACATTTGATTTCATAAACACAATTCTGTTGTTCATGCTTGTGTATTGGATCTTTGATTCTTACTAGTTTTGATCTTAGAGTATTGTCTGTTCGAAAGAATACTCTTATGTATTGAAGAGTTAGAATCCTTCTGATCTCTTCTGAAATACCTTTACGATATGGGATCACTACTGTGTTAATCCATTCTTTTTGCTCAACTCTTTTTCAATAATATCATTTTGTTCTTCATTCTTAATTATTCTTTTAAGAAAACCTTTTGGATAATTATTCATCATTAGAGTGGATACAATTAAATTCATTTCCATTTTTATATCATTTGATTCAGTGACAAGTTTTTTGGCTACTGTCACTCTGGTAGTGTGGATGCGCAGACTTAAAATCTAGAAATTTCCCTGAATATGTCGGCTTTCAGAAAATATTAATTTTTAAACAATCATTATGCTTCCTTTCAGCCAAGCAGTCTAGAAAAGGTAGTCTGCGTTCAGGAGATTCCAACTCTTTATTAAACTTGATTTTGTCATAGATGCTGTTGACGCGTTGAAATAGTTCGTCTAAACCATCTCGTTTTATAATGACAAAAGTGTCATCTACATATCTTAACCAAATTTTCGGTGGAATGGAACACATTGAGATAACAATTGTTTCCAATGAATACATGAATAAATTAGCCACAATTGGAGAGACAGGTGATCCCATAGCCACACCTTCTGTTTGTCTGTACAGAACTCCTCGAAAAATGAAAACCGTCGAATGTAAACAAAGCTCCAACGCTCTAATACTGTCTGAGGGCTCTAGAGGACAATGTTGTTTAAGTTCAGTATCAGAATCTAAGAGGTTATATACAATATCTAAAGCTTTATTAACAGTAACATTAGTGAACAATGAGCAAACATCAAAACTTGCCGTTATTTCATCTTCTATGCGGATATTACTGAAAATGTTTTTGAAATCGTTAGAATTTTTTATTCCATATTTTATTACGCTTTCATATGGTTTAAGAATTTTGGCCAAGTATCTAGAAAGATTATAAGTTGGTGAATTTATGTAATCAACCACAGGTTTTAGTGGTATATCTGTTTTATGTATTTTCGGTAGGCCATAAAATCTACAAGGGTTATTGCTTTATGGATATAAAGAGAACCATAAAGATGGTCCTAGTTTGGCTGTTTCAGCTTCAAACTTATTTAAAGTGGCTCTACATTTGTTCTTTATGATTTTTTCATACAGTCCATTGTGGAGATGTTCATTGACTTTTCTTTCATAGTCAGAATTATTCGTAACAACAGTGGTGTCTCACTTGTCTGCTTTCATAATAACAATTTTTCTGTCTTTACGTAACTGTTTTAGGGCATATGTTTCTTTTTTAGAAGTACTAAGCGTATTTGGTTTTTGATTCAACAATGCAGCTGCGATTTTAAACCTCACTGAATTCGTCTGATCATCCGGAACCTTGTTTAAGGCAGACTCGATCAACGGAATAATTTCGGAGGCCGAAATCCCTGTTTTGTTCATATTGAAATTGAGACCTTTTTTAAGTAGTGATAGTTCGTATTGATCTAAATGTCTGTCAGATAGATTTACCGCTATTTTGTTTGTATCGAGTTCCTTGGATTTATTTTTAATCTCGTCATTGTTGGATTTCGACGGATGTTTAAACATTTGTTCAGATTTTCTTATTTGACGTCTTTTTGTAATTTGGTTATAGAAGTTATCTCTATGTTTGAAAAATTCATTAACATTTGTTTTTAATTCTATTGGTATACTTAGTGATAAAGCACTATCAATGTTTGCTATACGTGAACGTCGAGATTCCAAGTTTAAAGTGAATTTATGTATACGTTCTCTAAGGGATACTCTTGTAGCTGTACAAGCTGCTTTTTGTGAACGTATACATATACGAGAATGTTAAACCAATCAAAGCAATATGGGTCAATAATCACAATGAAATGGAATAAGTCACCACACATAATAGGTAAAAATACAAATTGATAGTAGGAAGACAGATGTACTGATAGTGGTAATAATAATAAAATATTATCACAAAAGTCTTATCAATAATTAAACGTTGGCAATAGAAGGTCAAACAAACATGGGTAAATAGACTTGAAATAGTCAACACCAAAACATTAACATCATTACGTAATAAGAAGTGTGTAACTAATTAGATAGTGAAGAATACAAACTGAAAGAGGCGGAAAATTACAAACCAATACCGGATGTGAAAATAAGGCTAATAATAACAAAAATAGAATAAAATAAATAAATAATAATGATAATTAGAAAAATTTCAATTACAAATACATTCCTCTCTTTGAATTCAATCTTTTATCTTGTTCACTTATCTTATTTGTCTTCATTTAATGCATGCTGTGACATTTTTGATGCATTTCATATATAAAATGAGATGTTTTCCCTTAGACATTCACCGACCGAAGACAATATATATCTAGTTGAATGAAATCTCTTCTTCTCACATCACTTACGTATATACACAATCTGTTATCTGAACACTTTTTATTTTATACCACATGTCTCTTACACACTGATGTAAACATTGTTCACGTTGATTGGATGACTTATTCAGTATTATTATTATTATTATTATTAGCTTTATTCAATATTATAATTTTGGTACAATATAGAATTTTCAGCGCAAAGTATTTCAACAAGTTTCCGTTTCTTTCTTATTGGTCGGTCCTGGCGATAAATATTGAGGAATCGCCAGTTAGATGTTAGCACTTCAGTGAATGAACAACTGAATAATGTACATTCTTTTCGTTGTACATTGCCAGCAACCATATTGTCTCTTATTGAGTTTTCTGTAACTTTGATAACGAAAGGTTGTACACTTTTCAGAAACGCAGCAGAATAGGTTATGCGATTAATAAACATAATGATATATTAAAACAAACAACAATAGATAACTTGTTGAAATATCTAGATGACAGGAACAGGTAGCCCAGATGCTCAAGTAGGCCGCCCTGATAAACCAGGGAACCATGTACCTATTTATATTTGATCATTTTGATGTTTGATTATATTTTCCTTGAAAAAGCTTGGACCAGATTGCCAGGCGAAATGTTGGATTTACTTCAAGTTCTTTCGCTGAGATTTTCACAAATACAACATTCTTCCTCTTTAATGTTTCACATTAACTCGGCGCTCAAATATTGTAAAACTATTCGTTCAAATTTAGACAAAAGTTCTTAGTCAAATATTATTTGTCATTTTACTAACGTGTATTACAACTGTTTTTCATCCTTAGCAAACAATGGTTTGGTATATCTGTTCTCTTGAATCAACTTAATCCAGATAAGATACAGTCATTTGATATGAAAAGTAAAACGGTTATGAGAAATTTAATTATCCGAGAATTGGAAGTAATGAGGTTAGTTTCACGTTGATCAATATCAACTATCCTGTGTTTTAAGTTATAATGTTTTATATCATTCTATGCTTAGGACAAATGGGTTGATGAGTATCAACAGCTGCGAAACGTAGCCTGAGGTGTCACTAGTAGGCTGCTGAATTCCGACGACATTCATGTTATTTAGGTTCTTAAGTGCATCGTTTTACTTGTGTGAAGTTAGATAACTTGAGAGTGAAATTTGCGAATGGCTAAGTGGTCTGAAATGATGCATTTTGTTTTCTCTTAATCAACTGGGTAGTGCCCTTTGTTTCGATCCGATATTGGGATTGTTCACTTGACTGCACCAGTAATATCAGATTATTTCGTCAGAGATTCAACCAGTTTCGGCCTGAATGACCTTGAAAACATTTGCACTTGGTCAAGTACCAGAATGCTAATATACACAAGAATCTAATTCATGCCTTATGATCACTAGCAAAAACGCTTCAGAACATGTTATTCTTGATAGATATTGTTTGAGTTATTTAGCTTTTAACAATGGATCAGCAAAGAATGTGTAACAGGGTTGGAACATTTTGGATTAGTTACGTCCGTAGAATATCGATGGAAGGGTGATCGGTATCAATAACAGAGATTAAATGAATCATGTGAAATGATGAGTAACTATTAGTAAACTACGAAAGTTTTCATTTATCGAAAGCTATTTTTTACGGAACAAATGGGAGGTTTTTTCTGGAATTACTTATAATGCTCCACTGTACAATTATAATCACACGTCAACGAACCATAAATCCACACTTCCATTTTTGTAGTACAACTGCTCTTCGAGAACTTGAGATGCCATAATTATGATTGCATCCGGTTGTTTTAGCTAAAATAAACAGAGGTGGGGGTATAAGATCCAATCCAGTAGTTGGCAGCCAGGTTTTTTGTCATGAACACACCTCTCTACTGAATCAGAATATAGAGCGTGAAGAGTAACAGTTCATATCTATACCGACATTCATTATTTTATACATTTAACTGAAATGTCTAAGCTCATCATAATATTGCAAAAATTATTTAGTGATTTTCATGGTAAACCCATACATAGGTTCGGTTATTATTTCTTTATCATATAAATGAATCAAGGATTTGCTTTTTATTCTACCATTGTTTTTTAATCTAATTTTCTATAGCCGTATACATCATCCAAATATCATCAACCTATTGTCTATAATATACAATATTCCTCAAGAATCATGTGATCGATCAATAAATCCTGATAATTTGGCTTTGGTATATGAACGTCCCTCCATGGGTACTATGTATGAATATATTCAAGAGAATGTAAGTTAACTAACAACTTATTACGTCTTACGTCGGTTTAACTGAAATTAAATAATTTACTTATGTGGTTCCAATCAACAATCACTGAACTGTTTGAAACTAAATGATTCTGGAGTTCATCCTCAGTTTACTTGTCAACATATATATTGTTTTGTTATGATATCTCTTTAATTCTAAGTATTTCAAGTGTGTGATTTACGTAATATTGTGGTTTGAGTTGGCTTACACAACAAATTATGTATTCACTTACGACTACAATCCTATCTGTAATACCAACCTAGTGTGAATACAATCAAATCTTTCTTAGAAGCAACCAAAGACGTTCAAGTCTCCTGACGACAACTTAGTAGCAAATAAAGAATAAAACTGATTAGTTACTGTGCTTTTGAAAATGTAAGATTTTTCAATACTTTGAATAAACTTGGTTTGGGTTTGAGATATCTATTTTGATTTGCCCCGTTTTTAATCTGAATTAAAGATAATGTGGAGACTGAAAACTGTCGTTTCATCATCAGTCCTGAATAAATTCTGATTCAGCCCGAATGAAACAAGATCATACATCATCCGCAGAAATTCTTAGAAGAGTGTAAGAATAGTTGTTGAGATATGCTTCAATCATAATATAATTTAGTAACCAAGTTAAGGTTAATGTATATTTAGCTGTGAGCCACACGTCTTAATATCGATGATTCAGATATTATAAAAACATAAGCTGGTGAAATGCATTTTGAACATAATAAATAATTTCATTATTGTCAAGGATTTAAATGATCCCATTATTGATATTCACGATTGAAATTCGTTAGGTCTTTGTTGGTATTCGTGCATTCTGTGTAGATTGCTTTGATATTCATATTTTGTCATAAGTTTTTATGGAATAGATAAATTTTAACTAGCATTGGGATCCAGGATGTACATCTTGTTTTATTTGGGATAAGTCAATCGGATGTACTTGTTGTCGTTCACATTTGGATCATACTAATATCTATAATCCATTTATTCCTGGAAAGTAGGCTTGAGATTATAATGCTTTCACTATTACTACCATTCTTATGTGTTCTGAATGAATGAACCTAATTAAAACTACATTTGAAATCTTTACCCATGAAAGTATTTAGAAAAGAAATATATATATATCATAAAAGATTTTCGTAGATATTTTAGTAATTTCAATAGTTGAGATCATAAGTTAATTGAAGCTAGAGTACCATGGAAAACCTGGAAGCAATGGACGACCGTTTCGTCCTATTGTGGGACTCAGCAGTGCGCATCCACAATCCCGCTCGTGTGATTCGAACCCAGAGCCTTCAGTCTTGCGCGTGAACGCTTAACTTACTGGAACACTGAGCCGGCATCTAATGGTGTTAATGTCTAACCCCAATCAATCCACTGTTGAGGAGTCCCATAACAGGACGAAACGGCCATGCAGTGCTTCCAGGTTTTCAATGGTGTTCTAACATCAATCGATTCATGATTTTAATCAAAAACTTAACAATCTCCACAACCCTTAAACTGATTCATTTTGTCATTTGAACTGGCTAAAACAAAGTCATGTCTGTTTTCTTTTTTTTTTTAAAAAAAAAAGAAAAGAAAAAAGAAAGAAAATCAACGAGTGGTAATTTCATATGAATTAAACCTCTTCTTTTTTTCGTTTTTGATCTCAATAAAATAGATTAATACCTTCAGTTTAATTATTATTACACTAGATAAATGTAAAAATCTCATTAATACTATTCATATAGATATATATCATGACGAGTGTTCAAGTAGATTCTTCTCCCTCTTCTTCTTCTTCTTCCTCATCATCATATTGTGAGTGTAACTCATATAAACAGACGATATCATCAACGAATGTTTTATTTATTTACCTGATTTTAATTAGATGAAACCCATTTTGGTTTCATTATAATATACACATACATAGACATGCATACATATATACATACATGCATACATACTTACATGTACTTCTTGGGAAACTATATAAATGATATTACTATTAGAAGGGGGATTTTTGTGTGGATATTCTTAATAATCTTTTCAATAGTTGAGATCATGAGTCTTCAATTGAAGACTCATGATCTCAACTATTAAAATATTATTATTGTTTTAATAGATAAATGTGTATATAAAGTTTAAAGAATATGATGAATAGTGATCTTATTGATCAATCAATTTTAACATCAAAATTACTATTCTATATTTTTAATATTGGATGGGGTTTTGTGGATATTATATAATAATTTCAATGGTGTTAAGATCATGAATCAGTTGCAGCTAGATCACCATGGAAAACCTCGAATCACTGGACGACCGTTTCGTTCTATTGTGAGACTCCTCGACAGTACCCATACACGACCTCGCCTCCTGCGAGATTCGAATCCAGGACCTATTGGTTTCGCGCGCGAGCACTTAACCATTAGACTACTGAGCTGGTATCCAATGCTGTTAATGTCTAACTTCAATTAATCCTCGAAATTGAGCGACACATCCACCATTGTATTCAGTGAGTTACTATCTGACAACAGACCACCATGATGGTCTAGTTTCTACTGACTTATGATCTTAACCATCGAAATTACTATAATATCAACATATGCTCACTAGTGACTGGCTTCAAGAGGTATATTCTATATTTGTTTATTTTTTCACATAAAATTTTGATGTCTAGATGATAATTATCGTTATAGGATATAGATTATATACTTTAGATATTGATTTTAGTTGGAGTACCTCTGAAAACCAAACAGTGTTTTCGTCTTGATATGGAACTCAGCAGTAGTGTATGGTAAAGATTTGTTAGTTTTCAACATTCAAGTTTAATGTTCAGACTATAATTAACATTTTAATATGTTAGTTATATGCTTGACTGAGATTGATTTTTACCTAGAGTATCACTGATAATTAAAGAGTACTAGATAACATTTTCATCTTGATATGAAACTTAATAGTAGTGTATATTAAGAGCTTGAAGTGCTAGTAGTAAAATTAGTCTGATTGATGAAAACGAAAGTGATTAGACATTGAGGGCATGAATACAGAAAAGAAATGAATTGAACGAATAAAAAAATGTAAAATAATTTAAAAACATAGTATCCAACAGTAAATAAAGAATGAATGTAATTTAATAATTGAATTAATGCGTCAGTTGAATCTAGATCATCATGGAAAACCTGAAACCACTGGACGGCTGTTTCACCCTAGTATGGGACTCCTCAGCGATGTGCATCCACGATCCTGCCTCGCGAGATTAGAATCCAGGATCTCTCAGGATCGCGCCCTAACGGTTAACTTTTAAACCACTGAGCCGAATAATTTTCGTGAATTTCTTCTCTGTTAATTTGTCTGTTCATTTTCTATTCATACGGATACAGTAAACTAAGGCTGAATTATCATGTGTTAATGCAGTGTGATAAGACAACAAGAAGGTTCTGGGTTCGAAGCCTGCGAGCGAGATCGTGGATGTGCATCGTTGAGGAGTCTCATAATAGGACGAGACGGCCGTCTTGTGCTCCCAGGTTTCCCATGGTGGTCTAGCTTCAATTGACTCATGATCTCAATCCAAAACTTAATAATCTCCACAACCCCATACTGACAATCAGTAATTTAATTTGCAATGAACACGAGGTCAAATAGCGATCCTATCTATTAATAGCTTTACATAGGGATAGAAAAGGTTGATTACACTAGTAATATGTAATATGTATGTTGAGACGAAATAGTCAACCTTTTGATCTAACACATTAACCTCCTAATAGATTAATTGGATATTTTTCGACAATTATTTACTGAAAATATAAATAACTGAAATCATTTCACTGTTTATTGGGATTTGTAACAACTCAAAGTTGATGTTATTGAGATTGTAAAGAGTTATTAGTTAAACGCTGATTTTATAATTATTATTCCATGCTTTTCATTTACTCGTCGGTATTGTTACTGTCTTCTTTTCTTGTGTCTATCTGACGATGTTTTTCTTTGTCCATTGTGCTAATGTGAACAGTGGAGATGTTGACTTACACACTTTTGTAACAAGTCATGGTTTGACTACATTTCTCGAATTGCTATATCAGCATTCAAAGAATGAAATGGTGATTTTACTGGAAAGTTGATAGTCATCTTTCTATGTATAATGGTCAGGTAGAAAACATTTGGCAGCAATAACCTCTTCCAAGCTGACTAAAGTCAGCATTCGTTGTTTTAGACGCCGTTTTGATGTTGAAAGTGTATAGAATACCAATTAAATATATAATCACCTTAACTGTGAACAATATTCTCACTCAAACGCAGCGTTCGAGGACTAAGTTCAGTAAATTCCATAGATCCAATTCTTTTAGTCCTCATCTATGTATCGTTTCCACAAGTGTATATACATTCAAAAATACACTTCTAGGTGACAACAGAAGGATATTACTCTACTTCTGATTGGTTTAAGGAAGATTTGGTATTAAATGCTGAAAAACGTTAGGCTTCACGAAAGCTTGTTTTTACTGCTGCTTTATTTTTTTTACCGATTCTACCTGAAATCTCATCCTTTTTGAATGGAAGATGGATAAGGATGAGCTTTTTTTCATGATGATTGTTTTTGTAGGACATTCCTCAGTGCATCGTAGTAAATTTCCTCAGATATCCATTTTTCATAAGATATTTTCCAATGTTTAACATCTCATTTTGTCGATTAAACACGGTCTTCTGGGCATGTTAAATAGGGTTTTCACTAAACACCGTTCGTAACTAGTGAGACGAAAACTATTTTACTTTAAGTTTAACGTTGGCAATAACCTGGAAAAATGAAAGTGATGTACAAAATTGAATTATGCGTCCTTTTGCTTTTATCACTTTAACAAAGCAAATGAAAATATCAAATATATGATGGAGTATAAACTTAATAAATTATAAAACTCTCTAGATATAGACATGAAACATGTGAAAGATGGAGTTAGTCCGATATGGAACGAAACGGTTGTCTTGAATTCCATGGCTAGCCACATTCCATCTATTCTATGCCATAATGGTTTTATCAAAATAATCATTACAGATTGGATGTATGCCAACTAAGCCTGATCGAATTTAAGTCAAAATATAAACAACGAGATAGTTGATAAACAGTATGATCAACAGTTTATTATTTTAACTTTTGAGTGGTTCACCAAATGAATTTAAATAATATGATTTTCTTCATTAGTATTATATTTGATAATAGCTATAAAGCTTATAGCTATAACTATAACATATTATATGCAAACATGGATAGTAGCTAGCAATGGAATCCAAGACGCGCGCCACTTCGTCCTATTTGGGACTCATCAGCTGGATGTACCTTCATCTCAGATTTGATGTTTACTCTGGGAATCAAACACGGTACATTTCGTTACAAACACCATCGCATTATCCACTTAGCTACAGAGTCCTGATAGCCACTTGCTTGTGCAATAGGAAGAAGTTCAAACTCACTTGGTATTGTTTGTTCAAATCTTCTTATTGATGTTTAGGACTGTGATTGATCAGTCTCTTATTGGCATATGTGCATACTGTGTGTATTTACTGTTGCCCATTTTTGGCATTAGATAAATATTGTTTTATTTTTTGTGTCATTCTAGAAAAATACTTTGTCCACATTATCAGCTCTGGTTATTTCATGTCAAATATCTGAAGCTTTAATATTTCTACATTCATCTGGTATTGTACATTGTGGTGTTACACCGCATGCCATATATTTTTATGCAGAGGATCGAGTGAAATTAGGCAATTTTGAATATAGTCAGTTTATTGAGTAAGTGTTAGTGTTTATTTGTTTTGTGATTATACTGATTGATAGGATTTATCAATTAGTTAATTGGTCTAATTGTAATTAATGTCTTCTCAGAGAAGTAGTTTATTTCTAATCATAGGGGTGGACAGAACAATAGTTTTGTGGTCGGTACTCGAGCTACAGAGATTGTTGAATTATATTGAAATTACAAGTAGAGTTCAACTGAGTCAGGTGTGATGAATGTTTCTTGTCAAGACAATGAAAGATGGTTGCGTAATATCAAGGACTGATCACATTTAGACTTGCATGACCATGTGTTTCGGCTCAGTGGTCTAGAGGTTAAACGTTAGCGCGCGAAACCGAAGGTTTTTAGTTCAGTCTTTAATGGCGCGGTCACAAACGCTCACTGCCGTGGTGTTCTATACCAGATCTTCCAGAGTTTTTGTGATTGCCTAACTCAGATTGGTTCGTGATGTAGGTCTTTTGATTTTATAGAGAGTTTTAGATATTGTAAACGTAATTCTTATAACAAAGTGAAATTGGTTGAATGACCAATGGAAATTAACAGGTTTTCTTCTTTAATTTAGTAAGATCAATTGTTAGTCTTACACTAATGTAAACAACGTGAAATCTATTTGTCCTCAGTTCGAAACCTTGTCGGGTTATATGCCTGCCATTGTTGTGAAATATATAACTGGAATGAAATAGTCACCTATCATCTTATTTCCCTATTGTTTTATATGTAAAATTAATATTGGTAGTTTAATCACATGGGATAACCAACCTTTTTCCTTTAATATTTCTAGAATCTTCGAGAATCAAGGAAATGAAAATAGGTATCATTCAAATAGCTCATCGATTCGCAAACCAAAATCTCATTATCACCATCATCAGTATGATTATAATTTTTTCAAAGACAGCAATCATCATCACCAGTTACCTTCAATATATAATCTACTTCTTGGAATTTATTATTTACCAGCTCATTGTTTAACTGATTGGTTACCATATGAATTATATAATTCATCGAATCCATTATTTCATTATGATCATTTTTCTGATATTTTACAATCTGTATCATTAAATGAAATTTATCAAATTATTAGACCTTGTACAACTAGTGATGTATATTCATTAGCTAAATTAATTCAATTTATGCTACCTACAATTCAACAAATCAAAGAGAATCCCGACATTTATTCATTTAATACACCTAATAATCTATTTGCATTGATTTATTCAGCATTAAAGATGAAACCAGATGAACGTATATCAATGAGACAATTCAATAGACTATTGATACATTTATATTGGGTAATTTTGTTTCTCTGAATGGATGTTTCATTATTACTATTTGAGTTGTATTATTAAGATATAAAATTAAAACTTGAGAGCTTCTATGAACCTCATTGGGCCCTAAACCTTTAGCCCCCAAATGTCCTTGTATTGTCAAGGGTGTGTAGAGTTCACCCTCCCTCTCGAAATGCCCTCACATGGCCAAGCATATAAAGACACTGATAGAGAAGTCTTACTCGTTACCTTCTCATAGCAAGGGTGTTGTTTATGAAATTGAGAGGATAAAAAGTGAATATTCGGCGCTATAACCGGGTTGGTGGATAGAGAGAATCCATCTATGGGAGTTGGGAAACCCTGACTCCAGACCAATGGTGCACATGGGCTCCAGTATCCTGAAGGAAGTGATACACATTTCCCTATCAACATTTTTACATAGTAATCTATCGGTTGTTGTTAAAATATTTAATTACTATGAATTACACATATACAACTCAAATAGATCTGAAAACTACTTATTTATATTTACAGATTTAATGCACTGACAACCAACTGACAATTTCTCTGAAATGTCTGGATATTGATTGAATTCGTCACCTTGAAATATCTACATGAAATTGTGAGTTGTCAGTAGCAACTGAATGACATAGTTTCCAAACATAAATATCATCGTTAACATTTTCAAAAGAATTTTAAATTTTATACAGAACAGGTAATAATCGGTAATAATATTGAAATATTGAGTACTAGCACATTTGAACTCCTTTCAAATAGTTCCCTTTATTCTCTTAAAGGGAATAAGAACAAATAATGCAGTAGTATAACGTGAATTCATTTTATTTCGTCTAGTACACGTCAGTTGCTTACAGCCTGTAATATTTAGTGATCATAATTACAAAATGGGTGCAAACTACTTATATAAATAACTTTAGTTGGAAGTTGTTGTAATGACACATCAGTAGAGTATCGCGAAGATGTAAACAAATTCAATGGACTAAATAAAATATTACTCTCGCCCTTCCTGTTATGCTGGGTGATTGATTCGATTATAAAAACCTCTACATCTCAGAGGAAGCGCGGAATATAGTGGACAGCTTGGATGCAGCTAGACAATTTAGACCTCGCAAATGACCTATTTTTCCCATCCCATGCACAGTAAAAAATGCAAATGAAGACAGTCAGTGTAACAGCAGACTCGACATAAGGGAAAAATCAAGATCCTCAAATGCAATACAGAAAGCTATGTCATTCAGTTGCTACTAACAACTCACAATTTTATGCAGATATTTCAAGGTGACGAATTCAATCAATATTGAAACATTTCAGAGAAGTGGTCGGTTGATTGTCAGTGCATTAAATCTGTAAATATAAATAAGTGGTTTTTAAATCTATTTAAGTTGTATATGTGTAATTCATAGTAATTAAACATAGACTACTATGTATAAATGTTCATAAGGAAGTGTTTAACACATTTAAATAAACATGGTAACAATAATCTCAAAATGAAAAACAATAGAGCTCATAATATGTCAATCATGCATTAAGAACCTTGATGCTCTTGTCGACTAGTTTCATGGAATTTCTTACTATTCGAAGATTATTAATGTCTAATTTTAAATAAGAGCATATTTGAAATGATTTAGAATATTTACAGTTTAAGATGAGGATTTTACTTCTGGTATTAATCTCTGAGCTGATTGATTTAATTGTTAAGCTTTTATCAGAATGCGTTTTGTGGAGAATTTTAGAAATTTCACAGTTTGAAATCATGAGTCAGTTGAAGCTAGACCACCATTGAAAACCTGGAAGCACTGGACGGCCGTTTCGTCCTGGTATGGGACTCCTCAGCAGTGCGCATCCACGATCCCGCACCACGCGGGGCTCGAACCCAGGACCTACTGGCTTCGCGCGCGAGCACTTAACCACTAGACCACTGAGCCGGCATCCAACGGTGTTAATGTCTAACTTCAACCAATCCACGAAGTTGCGCCACCGTACACCATTGTCTTCAGTGAGTTGTTATCTCACAACAGACCGGTTGAACTCCACTGGTAACGGCTTCTCACTAGAACTTCAGGAGTTTTACCTGAAGTCAGTCACTAGTGAGCAGTTGATTATTATTATCAGAATGGGTTTTGTGGAGAATTTTAGAAATTTCACAGTTTGAAATCATGAGTCAGTTGAACCTAGACCATGACTCATGATTTCAAACTGTGTTAAGCTTTTATTATCTATCTGAATGATATAATCAGCAGATATCTCAAATAGCTTATTTTTCTTTGATTCTACGTATTGATGACGTTATTCAGATGGAAAGTGAAAGCTTCACGGCTGAATCAATCAAGTAACCAACTTGTAAACCGCAATATCAACAAAGGCATATTCATTTCACTTAATTACGAACTACATTCTATGCATTTGTACTGAATAATTTTGTTATCAACTATTTCTTTATTTCCGTAATTAATAAATAAATCATAATAATGAGAGTTATTGTGTGGTCATATCAACCTATTCCATTCACATAGTTCATGTCATTAATTAAAAGCATGAAAGTCTATTGTACTGTTGCCTAAGGTGACATTGTTAACACAATGATATCTTATGTTTACTGTTGTATTACATTTGTAATTATTGATACTGATTAGATGAATAATTCGAAGGGGACAATAGAATATTATCAATTCAATTTTGGATTTATTTTATAACATTTTCATAGGTAATGTATACATACACACAAAATACTATATGACGGAAGGGGTGCAAATAGCTAAAATCCATTCTTGGCAGTATTAATACTGATATAACATGGTGACAATATCATTCATGTCAGTAGTTGTTGTAATGTTGAATCTACTTCCCTGACATTACCTATTGAATATCGAGACAAGTTGGAAATAGTACAATATGTGCTGACCTAATTACCTACACCACGTTATAATAGTTTATAATATCATCATCTAGTTGACCTTTTACTTTTTTTTATACATAAATGTTCCTAGCAAGTACCTGTGTGATCAGTATGAGAAGGGATTTTTGTGGAGATTGTAGTAATTTCAATAGTTGAGATCATGAGTCAGGTTTTCCATGGTGGTCTAGCTTCAACTGACTCATGACCTAAATTATTGAAATATGTGTGATCAGATTGTTCGACGCTAATAGTTCTGATAATCTTCGTCTTCTTATTACACTATCGAAATTTATCAAAGGGATTAATTGCTTCATATTAACAATATGAATTAATAAAGTTTATTTAAATACGATAGTTGGAATCTGGGTGTGATATACTTCTGTTTGTGTTCTGTTTGTTTTGAAGTATGGAATATTTTCACTTATATATTATTCACGTAAAATATTATGTTGTTGTTGCTTCAGGACTGGTCTGCGTCAACACCTGAACTAAGGATAGGGAGTGAAGTAGTCGAACGCGTTGGCAACTTCACTTATCTTGGAAGTCTGATCAGCCCTAATGGGTTGGTGTCTGACGAAATCTCAGCACGGATTCGAAAAGCTCGCTTGGCTTTTGCCAACTTGCGTCACCTTTGGCGAAGGCGAGATATCCGTCTATCAATAAAAGGACGGGTATACTGCGCGGCAGTCCGTTCTGTTTTACTTTACGGCAGCGAAACATGGCCATTAAGAGTAGAAGACACTCGTAAGCTATTAGTATTTGACCACAGATGCCTTAGAAATAGTGCTGGCATCTGCTGGGATCACCGGGTAAGTAATAGTGGGGTTAGACGCAGGGTATTAGGGAATGATGGTAAATCAGTTGATGAGGTTATGAATCTTCATCGACTGAGATGGTTGGGCCATGTGTTACGTATGCCTGAACACCGATTACCACGACGTGCAATGCTATCCGGTATTGGAGATGGTTGGAAGAAAGTTAGGGGCGGCCAAACCAAAACGTGGCATCAGTGCTTGAAGACACTAACTTCTGGTCTGAGCCAGGTTGGTAGATGCAGACTACTTGGTTGGGGTTCGCGTGACTATCGTAACCAATGGTTGGAGACTCTTGGTGACATGGCTCAGAATCGTTCACAATGGCGTCGGTGTATACACTCCCTGTCTTCCCTTAAACTACGAGGTTAAAATCACTTCATATCTTTCTTTCTACGAACCAATTCTTTCTTCTTGTACTATATCTCTGTAGGCAATCTTTCTCTTATATATTACCACCTTTGACCTAACCACTGCTGTGAATCCGGTGTTCATCTTGTTGTGCTGATGCGGTATGGCAACCTGGACCGATGTACATATGTGCCTGGTCCTACGTTGTAGCTGACTGACTGACTGAATATTATGTTTGATTTATCATCATAGACATACTGTTAGTATTGACGTCAGTAATAATAGGGAATGGTAAGCGCAATGACTGCAGGACTTCTATTGAATTCACTACATGTCTTATGCAGCAAATATTCGTATTAAACCGTTGTGTTTGAAAAAAGAGCTGGTGAACAGGTCACTCGATGAATTGGTTGTTGACTATTTATTTCACCAGCTCACTTTTATCTGATCCACTTCATGGAACCACGGATTGTTGAATTGAACCATACTGTTAAGTTCAAACTACGTAATTAGTGTTGGTGGGATAATTACGATCAGTGGTTGAAGATATTGTGTTTTATGTGTCAGAATCGGTCACCATTGTGAAGATGAACTCATTATCTTTTGCTAGGTCAGTCAGTGCTATTTCTATAATAGTTTATTCCCTCTTTTCTTAGCCTATTGTTCATTGTTTACTCTTTCTTACTATCAGTGATACTACTATTATTTTAACTCTTTTGTTACATATCTTGATAATTTCATATCTCGTTGCTGATGCTACTTTGGCAGACAAATTCACATCTTCAGGATGAATCATTTGAGTAAACAAAGTCGATTGTATAAATAAAATTAGTCATTCAGTGAATTAATCCATTCTACAATATAACTATGATTACAATTACTTATTTTCATCTCTGTTACAGGTTGAACGTGATCGTGAAAAATCATTTCATGTTTCATTTCACAACATACCTCCATGTTCATTAAGACTTTGTAATCATAAATGGAAACCACGTTATTTTGAACCAATTCATCAATTTTATAATATAAATCATGATGAATATCCTTTTTTAAGTAAAAGTATTTCTCCTATTCATTGTCAGGTATGTTGGTTTTTATGAATTAATGAATTAAGGGTTACATATTTTTCTCATAGTGAAAACAATCTGTAAATAGTCATGGATCTTTTTTCATACTTGTCGTTTGTTAATTAAGCTTAGATAAGGCTTTCTGATGTCATTATTTATTGTATTATAATGATCAATGAAGGCGAGGATCGGGAAAGCAAGGGTCGCATTCCTACAATTGAAGAACATATGGAACTCAAAACAACTTTCAACCAATATCAAAGTGAGAATCTTCAATACGAACGTCAAGGCAGTTCTACTGTATGGAGCTGAAACTTGGAGAACTACAACAACCACAATCAAGAAAGTACAAGTATTTATAAATAGCTGTCTACGCAAGATACTCAACATACATTGGCCGGATACCATCAGCAATAGCCTTCTGTGGGAGAGAACAAACCAACTTCCAGCTGAAGAAGAAATTAGGAAAAGGCAATGGAAATGGATAGGACATACATTACGCAAATCGTCGAACTGCATCACGAGGCAAGCCCTAACTTGGAATCCTGAGGGGAAGCGAAAAAGAGGAAGGCCAAAGAACACATTGCGTCGGATAATAGAAGCAGATATGAAAGCGACGAATTACAACTGGACGGAGCTAGAAATGATTGCCCAGGACAGGGTTGGATGGAGAACGCTGGTGAGCGGCCTATGCTCCTTCACGAGGAGTAACAGACGTAAGTAAGTAAGTAATGATCAATGAATGAGTAAGATGGCATTCAAATATGGTATTCACTATAGACAACATAAATCACAGTAAAATGTTAGATTATATTTACATGATCAACATCTTGATAAAATGTATAAGCCATACTTAGAATTCTCAAACAAATCTAACATAAAGTTGTGATATGACTTCGGTTGATGGTGCCATGAAGTTGATGCTAGTACATATTACTTACTACATTTGTCATCATCTTACACAATTTAAGCATAAACCTGGCGTAATTAATTAATATTTTACAAACTGGTCAACTCGTATATTAAAATTGAGAAGACCGTTGGAAGCCGATAGTTACCACAATTTGGATTGTTTCTTACATCAAATATTTCATCATTATGTAGCTAACGATCAGATGTATACATTCAGAATGTACAGTAAACTAAATTGCTGAAATTGTGAACAAAGATTAGGAATAGTAAGTGCAGTGATACACTGTCATAATCCTACTACTGTTGAACATCAGACGTATTCATAAATAGATTGAGTTGTGTACAAATCGTCTTCTAGGAATAATCAATGGGATTAAAAGTACCCATTAGTATTCTGAATGTCGATGTAAGCTGAAGACTAAGCGTAGAACTAAAACACTCAAAGTCAATTTAAGCATTTAAAATTTTTGGTATATGGACTGGATGAGATCGTTTCTATGTTGTTCCGGAAGATTGTTGACTGGGTGAAGTCTATTAAACCGATTGTTCTATTTGGAAGACACTAGATATATCTGTGAATAAACTGTTATGATTACCTATACTGTTGTCCTCAAATCATCCATCACCATACCACTAATATTTCGGCCATTTGTTGCTTGGTTTAAGAATGTGATATGTTCTACTATCGTGTTTCACATCAGAAAAATTGTGAAATGAATTGATATTATCATTTGACAATAGCTGAGTATAACAGTTTCTTACAGAAACGGAATTTCATTGTATTTATAATCTGTTGGTTACATAAATTTGATTAGTAGTTAAGAGAATAACAAAATATTCTCTTCATGAATTGTACATTTTGTTAGTTCATTGTAGTTCTCCAATTCTTACAACTTAAATGAATAAGCTATTCACTTGAATGTTTACTACTTACCTCTTGTTTGTTATAATCTGTGTAAGAAAAATTGTCACTTTGAACTTAATGTTACAAGAAACTTTTGAAAGTCTAACAATCGTGAATCTTGTGTCAGTTTACATATACACTCGTGAATTATTTTGATATGCTCAAGAATTGCATTCGTGGTCGTTGTGCAGGTTATTAAAAAAAAAGTAATAGTCCGATGTTCATTCATAATTTTCGCAAAGGTAACTGTCAGATTGAATTAGTTAATCGATTACCTAGAAATTTCATTCTTCTCTGATTATACGTGGCATCAGTGCTTAAAGTCACTAACTTCTAGTCTGATCCATGTTGGTAGATGCAGACTACTTGGTTGGGGTCCACGTGACTATTGTAACTAATGATTGGACACTCCGTGTGACATGACTCAGAATCGATCACAATGGCGTCGGTGTATACACTGTCTGTCTTCCCTTAAACTATGAGATTAAAATCGTTTAATATCTTTCTCTCGATGAACTAATTCTTTCTTGCTGTACTTTATCCTTATATAAAATCTTTCTTTTGTATATTACCACCTCTGAATTAACTACTTTTATGAATTTGGTGTCCATCTTGTTGTGTTAATGTGGTATGGCAACTTGGACCGATGCCTGGTCCTACTTTGTAGCTGACTGACTGACTGACTGATTATACATTTCATTTACCATTACTGTAATTTGACTACTACCGTAGCAATGAAATTTTGTATACAATTTCTCATTACAATTAAGTTACTTAAAGGTTTTATTTTGTTTTTAGAATGTGGAACTGACTATGTTCTCCACTGAAGCAGTATGTTCATTTATAGAAAATCATTCATTTCAATATGTTTTCAAGAATAGCTAGGCTTCATGAAATGTTAGCTCTTATCAAAGTTTAACATTAGCAAATGGTCTGTATTTAACTAAGTAATTCATGTCACCGAGAAAAAGGGTCAATCCCTATAAAATAAATCACCATTATTTTAATATTTATGGATGGTGAATTGAAATAGTAAATCACGTTGAATTTCATGTCTACTTTCATGTTTGGTGAGAGATACTTATATTTTCCTATGCTTCACTAAGAATCTCTCTAAGAAATTGATTAAAATTGTTTCATACTGTAAATAATCCTAATCATTGTCATACAGGGGGGGGGGGTTTCGAAAATCATTAAATTGCATAGATTCTATCATAGAATGATTTGAGTTAGGTAGCTATTAGAAAACTTCAAGGCATTGGATAATTGTTTTATTTTAGTAGGGGGTTTTGTTAGCAATGTCTATGCACGACTCTCTTATAGGGTTCGAATCTATGATTTAGAATAATCTTAATGAAGTATTGATATGACTTATTTTCAATTCATCTTTAATTTAATAACAATTAATTCGAATCTACTTGATTAAGTTTTCACGTTATATATTTCTAGGTATTAAAGCATATGAATGTAATGCATTTAGTTCATTGTATTCATTTGAACTAGGTTTTATTTGATCATAAAATGTATCAACATTTCCTTTGTTTATACCAATCTATTTCATTTATATTAGTTATATTATTAATTGTCAACTATATCATAAAGCGTGAAAATCTATTATACTGTTGCCTAAGGTAACAAGATTAAACAGTCATATTGCATGTTTGTCATTGTGTTTTGTGAATACTGACAAACATCAAGAACAATTCAAAGTAGATTAGTAGTAAATGTCGAAGAAGGAAAACAGAACTGGTAATTAGTTTCAATAGAAATAATGTTTTGTTACATTTTTATAGATCATGTAGAAATTTATATGTGATTAGAAGTTAATAGATAATAGGTAGTAATTGTAGAAAGAGGTGTAAAGCGGTGTAATTTTTAAATTTTGTTGCTATCGTGATAGATTAGTGTACGTTGTCACTATAATAATAATAAAAGTAATCCGTTTTTAACATATAAGTATGTTTCCTTACTTGACTCATTATGCTTCCTATGTAATATCGAGCTATCCGTTATAGACTAAGGTATATTATTGAAGTCTGTTAATTATGATAACTAATAGTTATTTGTTTAAGTTAGGTATAAAACACATCAACACATTGGTGTTTCTGATCGGTGAAATAGTTTCACATCTATGTATATATATGTTTGGAATGATTGTTCTTGTCATTTGTAGACAACATGTTACTTCATCGCTGATACTACTACTAATAATAACAACGGTTATATGGAAATGCATCTTATCCAATATGAGTTGTTTTATTATTGATCTTAGTTGATTCTTGTGTTTGTAAGTGTCATAAGCGTTATTTTGCATATAAGTCATTCAGATGGTGTTAGCTTCTATGGTAACCTCCTTCTATTTATGATATCCTTAGATGTCATCATTTCTTCTCAGTATTATTTACCACCTGTAGTAAATTGTTTAAATAAGTTATTTTTTGTGCTCACTCTTTGTATTGTGTTCAATAGGATGAACCTCACTTTCCCCCGGTGGATTTCCGTCACTCGCCGTAAGATTAAAACAGTATAAAGATAATAAATCGGAAACTACTCCCGAAAAAGATTTTGTAGTTAGTCTTAAGTTTATTCTTAGGCCATCAAAATCAACCCTAACCTAGTTTCCTTACCAGATCTTCCAATAAATAGTATCCTTCCACAATGTGTTCACTTCTTTTTGAGGTTATAATTGTGCACACAGTGACAATCATAGTACGATGTTTTTGTGTTTGTCAACACTTATTACTCCTGCCAGATATATATTTGATTCATTTAAGTATTGATTGTATCTCTATTTACAATAACATCTTATCATTATGATCAAATGTTTTTCTTTACATTAGACAATGGGAGATGTTACTGACAGCGAAAAATACAGTGTCAATTCGAAAACGAAATTCTTCGGCTGTCTGTCATCTAATAATTCAGATAGCCCTGAAATTGTCGCTGACTCCATTCAGTCGATAAATCGAAATGCTTTTCAATTATCTACTTCAGATAGAAAAAAGTAAGTGACATTTGTACTTTTTCCTATGTACTAAATCCATTTAATTTTATCTACAGCTTTATGAGAAATATGGGAATGGTTAGTTGAATTGGTTGGTTGACCAAAATTTCAATTAATTGTAGAAGTGGAATAGTAAAATAATTTAACATTTTCAGTTGTTATACAAGCTTGTCTGATGGCTTTCTCAGTTTTATAAATATCACTCTAAATATTGATTAAGAAATCTTAATAATGATTAACTGAACATCATTGGTAATCATTAAGATTTGTATATAGGCAGTAATACTCTGCAGTGGTTTAAACCAAAGTGGTCATCCCCATAACTTTCGACCTTAATATCTAATTCACAAGGGAACGCAAATAGTTGCTTATACTATTTTTTTCCCTAAGTATCCGTATAACGACCGAACTGCCAATACTCGGTTTGAACGCAGAACTAACAAACAAAAATTTATTCGGTTAGACCAGACTACGTTCTTCTGTGTAGCTTACGAAGCATTTTTGAGTAATAAATTATATCAAAACACAAACTCCGTGCTCAATTTAAACGGTTCTAATTTAGGAAATAGAACAAATTATATAAAAAATACAAAATATTTCGAATGCTACAGTCTGTGCTATACAGTCAAAAGTTTCTCTAACACAAATTAGCGTGCTAAACAACAAAAGAAACAATTAATACAAAAGAGTTCAGTACCTGAGAATCAATAAAAATATTCCAAACAAGATGGGATCAGATATCTATCTGCAGGGATTCCAGCAATATTCCAAAGTAGACAGTCAAAGGTTAATAGTCACACACTGAACCACGCCGTGACCTTGAGCTTAGTCAAACACGACCTTACTGTCAATAGTCCGGCAATATGCAATAGAAAATTAGGTAACAAAAGGTAAGTTTTAAATCAAAATCACATAATAAAAGCTCAGACGAGGAAGACTGAAGAACACAAAGTGTGATCAAAAGAGATCTGAACAAACGTTAAAATGCACGACAGAGAGAAGAAACAAATAAATGACTGTACTGTCCGACAAATATGTTGTGGAGTGATAATCAGCGTTCATTTTCCGTTACAATCGGGGTGACAGTGTTTATCATTAGTTTGGAATCAGTAATCATTCTCCCTGTTCTTACGCTCCGTTCTTGCTTTCATCCTATAAAATTTATATAAAAGATCCCGATTAATCGGAGGCAGTGGATAGGGCTTTCCAGTAGGAAGCTATAAACACACTCTGCCACTGCTTCATTGTAACAGGGAAAATGAGGATAACTTGTACTATACATTGTGTGGAATTGTAAAGAAAGGATATATCACTCACGGTTCACGTCTTGGAAATATACTTACTAGAAATATATCTAGGAATTTATTTTATACACTATACGAATTTCATATTTGTTTTTATTTAGGCGTATATCTCAACCAGTTCTGAAGATTTGTAATCAATTAGGTAAGGGACAATATACTAAAAAACAGAAGCGATCATGGCATAAAATATTTCCATATAGAAAACAAATAATTTCAACAAAACAGTCTCTCCACAGAGTACATATGGTTGGAGCCTCTTCGAATAAAAGATTATTAAACATAAATGATAAACAAGAGTTGTCAGTTACTTCATATTCAAGTGAATGCCATTCAGATATCGTGCACAAGTGTTCACAATGTAAGCTGTTTTTTATTACTTATTGAAAATCATTATTACCTGAAAAATGACATCATTTATTTGTGTAAATCTAAACGGATCTGTAAGATAATAGTTAAATACTTACCCTCCAGTCAATCATTTCTCTGTCCGAAACCAATCTTAATTGAATTATAGTAACTTTACTTTTACTTACTTACACCGCAGACGAGCATTCTCCAACCCATTACGTCCTGGACCTTCTTTTCTAGTTCCATTCAATTCTTGTCCATTTTTCTCATGTCTATCTCCGTTTCCCGGTGTTATGTGTTCTTTGGTCTTCCTCTCCTTCTTTGGCCTTGGCGATTCCATGTGAGGGCTTGTCTTGTGACACAGTTGTGTTCTTTCCTCAATATGTGTCCTATCCACTTCTAGCGATTCTTCCTGATTTTTTCCTCTGCTGGGATCTGATTTGTTCTTTCCCACAGTTGGTTGTTACTAATAGTGTCCGGCCAACAGATCCGAATTGGTTTGCATAGACAACTGGTAATAAACACTTGTATCTTCTGGATGATGGCTTTCGTAGTTCTCCAGGTTTCTGCCCCATACAGTAGAACTGTCTTGACATTTATATTGAAAATCCTGATCGTGATGTTGGTTGATAGTTGTTTTGAGTTTCAGATGTCCTTCAGTTGTAAATATACTGCTTTTGCTTTACCGATTCGCGCTTTCACATCTGCATCAGATCCACCTTGTTCATCAATGATGCTGCCCAAATATGTAAAGGTTTTCACATCTTCCGAATCTGCTTAATATTACTGTCTCTTATACTAAAAGTGATCCTCAATACCAAGTATATTAATATATATCTTATCGAACAATTTGTTTTATTTATTATTTCGGGAAAATATCCGAAATCATTTTTAGTTGATCAAACATTCTTTTAAAGCTTCTCAGAAAAAAGATCTAGGGCAAGATTCATCTGACTAATCAAGTATCAAGTTTGTTACCTATTCTAGTATTTATATAAAGACCTTAAAAATGAACTTCCTTTCATATTTTCCTCTTCTGGTTTTGATAGAAGATTAAGTCGACGGTTGTGATATTCAAAATGTCTTCTGTGAATTCAAAATCTGAAGTTTTCAGTGGATAAGTCGTATCAGTCATGAATTGTATGATCCACTAATTATCTTTCATATCCATTGATTTGTCATTAGTGATTTTACTAAACTATGACTTTGATAATGTCCACTATCACCAATGACTTGATGAGTATTCGTTTATTAGTCAATGGTCAATATGAAGTTGATGATATTTTCATATTTGCTATATTTTCCTGTGCTAGATTAGGGTAATGTATCAAATAATGTGCAGATAAACTATTAAAACCCTTTTAATTGTACCAAGGGAAGTTGTGTAACTGACTTCATACAACATATATTGTAAAAGATTATACTAAATTTTCAGGCTGTAAAGTGTAGGAAATAGCCTCCACTGATGTTATGTAAGTAAATTTAAAAATAACAACTAAACAGTATCATATATTCGGTTATCACTTTGAAGTGACGTCTACTTTGATAAGTTAACGCATGAAGAGTAATATTTGGATTGTATTTACAAAACGTTATCTCAGTAACATTTTCAGTCATATTATGATGTGTCCTACTTATATTGACATAAGTAGTATATGATGTTAGTTGTGAACCGAAGGTCTGGCAACAAAGAGACAAGAGGATCGAACAGTAAAGAATGGAAACAGAATAAAATTTGTATGAAAATGCAAGAACAATGAAGTATGAGTCATTAAAAGACAATTGATGGGCATTTTGCAAATTACGTATTTACTGTTTGATTGTCAGATTTTATTAACAAGTCCTGTAATTTTTGTTAAACACATTCGGTTGTCCCCACCCGTGTTCTGTTCACTACATTTGGTGTCGCTGCCAACAAGGAGGGGAAGGGTGATGTTTTGCGAACGCCGTCTGGGCCTGGATCTGAGGTTTTAGTTGGGGTCGTCTGGTCCGGAGGGGTGACGTCGAGTGGAGTGTTTTAGCGGGGCGGCATTGGCTGTGGCGGGTGCTGTCGACGGACAGGAGCGGTGGGACTTGCGGCTGCTGGGCGGACATTGAATGTAGATGGCTCAGCAGGCCGGTGGAGCACGGGTGTTAAGCGTCTCAGGTGCCGGGTGGATGTCGGATGTCCCCACTTATGTTCTTGTTCACTATTTCAAGATATTGAAATTGGCATTCAAATATTAAGCACATCTAAGTCATATTTTTATTGATTACTGTATTATCAGGATGGTTGGTGTTGATGAGTTGTAATGATCACAAATTATAGATCTACTAGATCTACTAACTATAAAAGCTAAATCCGATGATTAATGCATTTTTCATTAACTTTGAATAGGAAATGTTTCTGTTACTCAATTATTTTATTATATTTACAATTTGTTTCGAATGTCTTTATTTTAGTAACTGATAATTCGAAAGAAAATGAAAAAGTCCCTCCGAGATTTCATTCTTCTTTTACAGATTGGCTTAAGCGTCGAAAATGCAAATTGTCAATTGATAATAGTCTATCACCAGATGTGAATATAAAATTTGAGTGTGAGACTGGTTCAACTCCAGTATCTAGAACTGAAGAAATACTAAGTAAAACATCTAATCTTTCAAAAAATAATTCAAATCATAAAGTTCCCAATTTATTTACACGCTTTCGATTAACAAAATCTGATTATGTTCATTTGTCTGCTGTACCTTTATTACCGGAAGGTGTTGAAGTAAATCCTAATTTAGTTTCACGAAAAGATTTATTATCTTGCCAAACACCACTTTCTTATTCCTCATTTAATAGTCCCCGGATTCCTTTAACCTCTTTATCAAATAATTCAAATTCAATTATTACTTATCAAGAGATTTCTGTAAATAATTCATCCGAAAAGATTCTCAATATCTTCAGTCCTCGTTTAAACAAGTCGTCAAATTCCAAGTAAGTATGAAATACATAGTAATTTCACAATTGATTGATCACTGGGTGGTGATCAGTGTCATGCTTGTCTAGTCCTTATTAGTGCAGATCGAATGCTATCGATCATGTTGCAATGTGGCCACCAGTCTAGGTGACTCGACACTGCGGGCACTATGTATTGAGTTTTAGATGGTGGTTGGAGGTAGTCAACAGGAAACCCTGGACCCGGGTTTCGTGCTACTTAGCTGAGTGATAACGTCTCTGACTGTGAAGCTGGGTGACACGAGATCGAATCCGCCAGGGAGCACCAGTTCCCTCAAGATTACAGGTACACCTTGCTGACGAGTGCCAAGTAGCACGAAACCCAGGTCCAGGGTTTCCTGTTGACTACCTCCAACCACCATCTAAAACATAGTAATTTCACTAAAACAAGCGTGAAATTCACCAGGTATTAGTGACTAATATGATATGTTAACTTGCAGTATTTCATTTTTTGTCTCTCTATCTGTTGTTGTATTTCGTAAAATCGTTTCCTAGAAGGTAAAAGCAACTAGAAAAAATGTTGAGATGTTGGGGAAAATTCATAGCTAAGAGTGAAGATTCTGATCTAGTAGCGTTCTTTGAGTTAGTTGTTTGAATCATATACAATGATTGGTTTGTTTGTTGATCTAAATCTAAAACTTCGTAACCAAGTATATATTACTGTGCTCAGCATAAAATCACACTGTAACTATACTTATATTACTATTCGGAATGATCAGATTTAAGTAAATAGAGTTGGATTATAAAAATTTTGACTCACCACTAACTCAACGTTTGGTGATGTAACCACTGAGTGGCCGTCTAATTTTACATATCGAGTAAATCGTCTTCACTAAGGAATATGCTAGCAAAAATAAGAATATGGATAAACTATTTTCACATAATTCATCCAGAGTTTATAAAATGCATCATTAAGTTCACTTACTATCATTCATGGATTGGTTGATGTTAGACACTATCACCATTGGATGCCGGCTCAGTGGTCCAGTAGGTTAGGCGTTCGCGCGTGAGACCGAAGGCCCTGGGTTTGAGTCCCGTGGGCGGGATCGTGGATGCGCACTGCTGAGGAGTCCTACAATAGGACGAAACAGCCGTCCAGTGCTTCGAGGTTTCCAAAGGTGGTCTGACATCAATCGTTTCATGATCTCAATCAAAAAATATCATTAGTGTTTTGTGCATCAAGCTGATTCATCTTGATGTCTCTGTTGATTAACTTCTTTGAGACTCGATTTTATTCAGTGTTATCTAGGAGGAACAGCTTACTATTTTTACTACACTGTCCGCATATATACGCACTGTTAGGGAAGTCCTACTAACTGCCTTCTCACAGCAAAGGTGTTGTCTACGAAACTGAGAGGACGATAAGTGAATGTCCTGAACTGCAGCCCGGTTAGTGTATGTGAAGAATCCATCTAAGGCAGTTGGAAAACCCTGATTCCAAACTAATGATGCACATGAACTCTATGATCCTGAAGGAATAATTGGTATATGAGTCTTGTTGGCCACCGATTATTATGAGACTGGATCTCCTAACATTGTCTTGAGGATTAAAGCTGTAGGTCAAAAGCTTGGAAAGTGGCCTCCTAAGAAAACCACTTGCGTCTGACTGGGCACCTAGGGTTATCCCAACGGATACACAAATCCAATGATAGCTATTTTGTGTGGCGCATACGTATCCAAAAATATTTCAGTTTTTATACTGAGAAAGTTCCGTCTATTACAAGCCGAAACACTCCGTTATGTTTTAGGTAGAAGACAATGATTATAAATAATCTTGATCGTTTGTATGAAAATGTTATTTATTCTGACGATGACTTTCACTATAAACTAAGTTTTTTTGCTCACTTTATTTCTTAGCTACTCTCCTGAGTATGTTCCTTTTGTTCCATTCTTTTAGATCCGATGTTATTACACCAATGAAACCAGCTTCTCACCTCACACAATTATTATCTAGTTCCATTGACAACCCAAATGTTTCTGGCAGAATTGATTTGATACGTACATCTAGTTTACTCGCTCGTAGGCAACAATACATAACGCGAATGAAAAATCAAAAAGATTTAAATTTATCTTTACCAGTCTGTGATTTGCCAAGTTCCAAATATCAACAAAATCAATTCTCTAAGATATCATATAATCAATCTGTTTTGAAAAATCAACGAGTGAATAGCTTGCCTATTGTAAAGAACTATCCAATACATTCTGACAATCATAATAGATCAATACAACTGTCATTTCGATCTGATAAACATACAAAGTCATTAGATCATTCTAACTGTCCAATGAACTCTTCTAAGGATGGAGAACCGTTAAGGAGTTCAAATAGAAATTGTGTTGATAATTTGGTAAGCTCAGTGTCTCCGTATCGAGGAAATATTTTCAATCCGAAGATAATTTGAATTTAGTTAGCGAAATATGACAATTCAGATAGATTGGAATCCATGATTTATTTTTATCAGAGACTCCTGATCCTGTGTGTTATGACTCTTTCCTTTCTGTTTCTGTAGACCTCTGTAGGTTGGAAAAATATTTGAAGAAAATCAGTGTCACTTATTTCAATATAGTGAATGGATGTGTGGCTCAATTTCGCGGATTGAATTAAGACATTTACACCGTCGGATGCCGGCCTGCTCAGTGGTCTAGAGGTTAAGCGTTAGCATACGAGACCGATAGGTCTTGGATTCGAATCACGCGGGGCGAGATGCGCACTGTTGAAGAGTCCCACAATAGAACAAAACGGTCATCCAGTGCTTCGAGGTTTTCCATGGTGGTCTAGCTTCAATTGACTCATGATTTCAACTGTTAAATGGAAAATTGTTTAAATATTTTGTTTACTTACTGGCAACAAATAAGTAGTCTAACGTATCTAATAAAATATTCATGCATTGTGGAATGAATACCAAGTACTCAAGATTATTTTCGATTGAGCAAATTTCTTGCCCTAATGATCTACTTTTACTCTAAGTATGAATAAAGTGAAGTTTTCTAACAGTTGAGGATGAACTTGGTCAAAACTACCTCATGTTTATCCTGTGTATGTCATTTACCCCATGATATGGTTAAGCTCCATACTTAACTGTTTCACATTTGAGTGGCTATTGTGGATGTCAATAGATCAGTCCGGTTTGGTATATGATGTCTATCACTATAATCGCAAGATAACTTTTTAATTAGTGATCATTTTTTAGACGGCAGTTATCACTCCTAATGGGAATGTTTATTTAATCGTAGTGGAGAGCAATTCAATTGGATCGCTCACTAATTCTGTTTACTTGGGTGTTATTTGTTGAGTACTAGTTATTTCATTGTTTTATCAATTACATATCTTTGTATCCACTCAGTTACAAGATATGATCAATAGATTTTGTGGACAGTATTACAACCTGTCGAATAGGGTTAGTAATTCTACGTCACAACATCTAAAAAATATAAACACAAATAGAACAAAGAAATGTATCTTACCAATTATTTGAAATCAGTTGTATAAAATTTCATTTTCACTCAATGTCCGAATGGGAATTATTATTTCAGTGTAAAATACGAAGTACACTATCATCTGATATCTTTGATGGCATGATAAAATTGTTGGGGACACCTAGAGTATTCCTTAAACAAAGCCTAGAAGGACCTCGAAAACGTTGAAAAACATTTTATCCAATGAACATTGAATGGTAGTCTCTCAGGAATATTTAGGAAACGAAAAGTCACGTATCATATTTCTGATTGTCTGATTAGTTATTCTGCTACCATGTTTAGTAGGATCCAGAACCTTCCATAAGCTCAAGACCATCTGAGATGTCGAAAATACCCTAGATTTTTTCTATATAAGCGTTCTTTTCACACTTCGCACTTTTTCTGTCGTGTTCATTTACCCTACGTTTATTTAAAAGAACTTAGGAAATTGATTCGAGTGTTCAATGAGAAGATATATTAAAATTTAGTGAATTCGCTCGATTCATGTGGTTATTTAGTCCAAAAAAGAATAGATTGATTAGTTTATTATTATCAGAAGGGCTTTTATGGATATTTTAGAAATTTCAATTGTTGAAATCATGAGTCAATTGAAGCTAGACCACCATGGAAAACCTGGAAGCACTGGACGGCCGTTTCATCCTAGTATGGGACTCCTCAGCTGTGCGCATCCACGATCCCGCCCCCTGCGAGATTCGAACCCAGGACTTATCGGTCTCGCGCATTGTATCATATCGTTATATGAAATCTTTCTTTTATATATTACCACCATTGAATTAACTACTTCTATGAATTTGTTGTTCGTCTTGTGATGCTAATGAGGTATGGCAGCTTGAACCGATACATCTATGTGCCCGATCCTACGTTGTAGCTAACTGACTGATTACAGCATAAAACATTTTAATTACTGTTACAAATCAAAGGATTGGAAGACAAAAAAGGGTAAAATGAGCTTAATTCATTCCATATTGTTTCTTGTTCCTACTTACAAAACATTTTTAGTAACTCCACTTTAAATAAGCATGAGAAATGATATTTTTCAAAAGCTAGTATGTGCTTTAGTAAAATCACCGTTGAAAATTTGATAGGTATAACCTACAATTCCCTCGATATGAAAAGGAAACAACAAATGAAGAAGATAAAGTAAGAGGTGACATATTATTAGTGTTATTATTATTTGAACACATAAATATTGGTATAAAGGAGCCTGAAGTAAATATGCGCCACACAAATTACTGGATTTGTGTGTAGGCTGTGATACTAGCTGGGTGCCCAAACCGAACTAGGTGGTTTTCTTAGGGGACCACGCTCCTATTATTCGACCAAAATGCCTGATCCACGAGGCAGTGGAACAACCTTAGGTGACCCAGTCCCATGGTAGCTGGTGACCAATAATTGTTTTATACACCATTTGTTCCTTCAAGATACTGAGGCCCATGTTCACCATTGGTTTGGAAACAGTGTTTCCCAACTCTCCTAGGTGGATCTTCAGTACCCAACGACCCGGTTAAGGCTCCGAACATTCTCTTTTCGTCCTCTCAATTTCGCAAACAAAATCCCCGTCGTCAGAAGCTAGTGAGTAAGACTTCCCTGACTGTGGCTGTGTACGCGTGGTCACGTGAGGACATTTTGAGAGAGAGAGAGAGAGAGAGAGCTGACTCTCCCCACTCTCAGGCATTTGGGGGCGATGACATTATAACCAATCATTTGTATAACTTTTAACTTTTTGAAATCAAATAACACATTTTCTCCCGGATAACACTTTTTCTCTATCTGAACACTTCAACTAAGTATTTATTGGTCAGTACTCATTGTATTAGCATTGGTAGATAAATTACTCATTATTAAAATATCAAAATAAGTAGATCAAATTGAATTGTACATAATTAGATAGTTGTTGATTTCATAATATTTTTATTCTGATTCAAAGAGTAAAATTGTTTCATTAGTTAATCTGTTATTTGTAGCTCACTTAATTTTAGGGTCTGAAATGCTTTTTTAATGTTATCTCCACTATATTAAATAGTTGATTACAGTTTCTAGTCAGTTTTTAGTTGACACGTGGAATAGCTGCCTTGAACTGTTTGGTTGTAAACAGAAATTGATAGTAGTTCTTTTCTTTTCTTTCCTTTGATACCTGTTTGTAAAAATATTTTCATACTCACAGAACATTTAATTATAAGTACGAATGATTGAGGGCCTCTTGAGGACAACCTCGAATCAACCTACAATCAAATAAAGTAAACATAAATATTGATTTATCACTTCAAACAGGAGCCACACTACAATTACCATTTAATTAACAACTAGAATTAGACAAAGATGACTTTTCTTACTATCCAGGGATCACATTCTTGTTCCATAGAACATCAGTCATTTCGAAAAAAATTTCAGTGATGATATCTAGGAGTGTGATATCAGATAAAGCTGGTTCCGTAAGTGCTAACTATCACTAGACTAAAGTCAAGTAAGGTTTGCTATCGATTGCCCTTAAGTAGAGTTTTGTTGGTATCATTTGTGAGTTTATTCATTTTTCATGATCTACATACATGATAGGACAGTTAAACGTGGTTATAACATTACATTCTACATCTATCCTAATCATAATATTATGTTTTTATTTTGTTTTTAGTCCTTTAGTGATTATATTTTAGTTCAAAAAACTAGTCCTTTACTACAAGAAACAATCAATTCAGGATATTCCCAATCAAAATGCATTGATCATGTAGTAATGAAACAAACCTCAGTTTCTCAAAGTTGTGAAAATCATCATTTAATGAAACATAAACCAAAACGTGAAAATATTTTGTCAATCTCTAACCAATCCATCGGTATACAATGTTCTATTGAAGAATTGCACTGTGATGCAAGTGTACAAACTGAAATAAGTAATCCACAAAATCTAGATCTCAGGTAATCTATTTAATCCAAATATACACAAATACTTATTTCTTTTAAATATTCATCCATCTATTTTTACTTCTATCCATAGTACACTTAATAATATTGGTTATATACAATTTACCAATGTCTCGTTTAACCAATCTGTACATGATTAAAACTGATGCAACTTTATCAGGATAATTAGTTCTTTAATATCAGAAGGGGTTTTGTGGATATTATAGTAATTTCAATGGTTGAGATCATTAGTCAGTTCGAATCTCACGGGGGTGCTGGATCGTGGATGCTCACTACTGAGGAGTCCCACGATAGGACGAAACGGCTGTCCAGTGCTTCGAGGTTTTCCATGGTAGTCTAGCTTCAACTGACTCATGATCTCAACCATTGGAGTTAGTTCTTTATCGAATTCATTATGAAGTTAGGGATTAACTCTAGAAAAATTCCAATTCATCTGAACTTATGAAGTTTATGTTGTAATCATCGACTACTGTACTGAATCGTGTTAATAAGGGCAAACTACCTGATTGAGATTTATATGGCAACCTCGGTTAATGGACTAATTGACAGTGTAAATAATCTTACCATTGATGATTCATGTCATTAAAAACCAATATCGTATCATATTGGAATTCGTTTTAACATTTTACAATTTGGTTTAGTTTTAAGAGTGTTGTAACGTGTGGCTGCAGGTTAGATACGCAGCGTAAAACACATAAGGACGACCTGGAGTCCCGACTGGTCCCGCTCCCCTGTCTAGCCCAGCCAGTTGAGTCTAGAACGCAATTCAAAGCCTCTGAGTTATGAATCATTATATTTCAAACATACTCTGTTTATATACTAACCAAACAGACCACATCGTACCATAAAATAGAAAATAACATCTGTACAATATTTAACGAGTGAAATAAATAACGGTCAATAGGAAATGTTCATTTAACGTCCAAGGACATCACTAGACTTAACATGATAATGATTGGCACATTATTACTCAGCATCCATAACAAAGAGAATAATACCTTTTTTACACAAATCAATTACCAAGATGCAACCAATCATATGCTTACTGACACTAAGAGCTTATTGAATTCTGTCAATGAATTTGTAATATCATCAACAGATTCGATGACATGACATTGAAGTATACTTTATTTTTATGTTTAGTGGTCAACATGAAAAGTTTGATCTGGATCCATGTTAATCTGTATTGATCATTTAAGTTCATCTTTATCTTTGAAAAGATTGATGATTCCTATGGTATTCAACCCCACGTCTTTCCCGATACTACAATTATTATATTCATTTTTAGATACAACTGAGCTCTAAGTGAACTGAAATCTTTACTTAATACTTATAAACACTGCTGTTATGGAAAATTTGATTTCCTTGTATGGTGTGTCTGTATGTGTATGGAGAATGTGAACAGGTGATAATTTTCTCCTGTTTTATGATATATCTTTATAATTGACAGAGAAATCTACAGTTTCTCATTTTTGTGGGAAAACTGATAAGTCTTGCGAATTGAACGCTATATTCATCTCCTAAGTTATTCTGTAACCCCCAAGCTAGAAGTATACAGCTATCTGAACACAAGAGAGAAGACGCAAGGCATGCGAGAAAATTCTTTACTCCAAGGTTCGTTTTCGTACAGAAAACATTTGTTAAATCAACATCATATTTTTAGCCAATGCGCTAAAAGACATATTATGCTACTGACCAATAGTAGCACGCCACGTTGACATTCTAGAGAGTTCAATCATGCTCTGATTGGCTAGAACTCTTCGGCTTCTCTAGGGCCTCTGGAGGCTCGGTTGCAGTGCTGGGAAAGCCGACTCAACAAAAACAAGTATGGGTTTTATAAGATCAAAATAATGAGTATCGTTGTAGTTACTGAAGTAAGGCTGATAATTTGCTACTAGGTCAGAATTGATGAAAATAGTTATCACAAATATTGTGCCTATATCTAATTGTTAATTTATTTTACTAGAATTTCGGAGTCAGATAGAGTTATGGAGAATCAACAATCATTGTCTGTTTATAACACTATTTTATCAAATGCTGAAATGGAGCAAATACTGCCAGATACTTTTTTCAGTTTGCCACGTCCACCTTCTTCTGTCAATTTATGTACGTCAAAAGCAGTGATATTAGTATGAATAAAATGATATTATTCTTTATTTCTTTAAATGTTATATTTTCCTCTCATATTGTATGTTTCCCACTCATATGAAACAGTGGATAATATATTAACATCTCATAGTGGACTACCTTTTTGTAAGTAACCATACCAATGGATACCTATGATCCTCTAGGTATCGGACACAACAACATCAGGACAGCAAACAGCTTATTAACTTTACTGGTACACATTTCCATGTTAATTCGTTTTCTACCAAACAAACAACCACTTTGGATTGTTATAGGTTTTAAATGTATTCTGTTTTTTATGATGTTATTTCATACAGTAGTTGGTATTTTATTGAATATCTTTTGCAACTAACGATTTACCTAGTTTTACTAGTTATTGTATAGCTTTATAGGATTACAGTTTATGTAAACTGTGTTATCATGACGTAACAATTTACATTCAGATATTTAGGTTTATGATGTCTAAATAACAATTAAATTTCTCAAGAACTTGAGCCATTCTGTAGTGTCATGTCCACCATGTTGACAATAACCATGTACTCACTAGCCACTTATTTCCAGAGTTCTTTTGAAAAGTTGAAACTAGTACAGCTCTGTTTTGTTATATGCAAAGCATATACAAACCAATAGCGTTGAAAATTGGTTGCATGATAACGGAGATTAATTAATGTTGAACTAACTACCAATTGAATGCCGTATTAGTAGCCTAAAATTAAAGTGTATGGAGAGAAACCTTAAGGTTCTCAGTAGAATAGCGGTTGCATACTGCAAACCAGTTTCATATTAGGACTATATTTGTCCAATGCTTCCTGACCTTCATTGGCTATCCAATCAAGATCGATCCGAGTTATGATAATCAATAATCTAACTAACCTCCCTTTATTATCAGAATGGGTTTTGTGGAGATTTTTAGAAATTTCACAAGTTGAAATCATGAGTCCCCGCGAGGTCGTGGATGCGCACTGCTGAGGAGTCCTCTTCCAGAGAAGACTGTTGATAATGGTATCCGGCCAATGGGTGTTGAATATCTTGCGTAGACAACTATTTATAAATATTTGTACCTTCTTGATGATGGTTGTAGTAGTTCTTCAAGTTTCAGCTCCGTACAGTGTGACTGTCTTGACGTTCGTATTGAAGATTGTGGCTTTGATATTGGTTGACAGTTGTTTTGAGTTCCGTATGTTCTTCAACTGTAAGAATGCTGCTCTTGCTTTGCCATTCCTTGCCTTTACGTCTGCATCAGATCCTCCTTTCTCATCGATTATGCTTCCTAGGTACGTGAACGTTTCCATCAACCGTGACTGAATTGGTGCTCTCCGTGTTGTATTTTAGGATCTTGGTTTTCCCCTACTGATGCAGAGGATGCTGTTAAACGAGTTGTCCTCATCTGCATTTGTTCCTATGTATGGAATAAGAGGGATAGATCATCTGCGAAGTACAAACCGTCTAATTGGTTTTGAGCTGTCCATTGTATTCCGTGTTCCCACATCTGGACAACATTAAATTAACGAGTTAAATTAAAAGTTTATTTAAATAATGATCACAAGATCGATAGTGTGAATGACTTAATATTGAGAATATGTTTACAGAAAATGGAATGATGAAGTATTTATGGTGAAATATTAGAAAAAACGACGGATCTGGCAGAAAATAAACAGTGAATGAATCTGTTCCAATGTGACAGGTACTCAGCCAATTAAATAATTTGAAATTTAAGCGTTCAAAATGAAAATGATAGATTCTGGTTTAGTACCGTGACCTGATCGTGAATGTACACTATCGAGTTCTCATAGTAGAACAAAATAGCTACTTAGTTTTCAATGATTGTCTAGTTGAAAGCATTTCATACGTTTAGTTTATCGAGTTAATGTATGAATAGTGTATAATCGGTGCATCACATATGTGAAACTAAATCAAGGTATCAGTGATTTCCTATGAATAGATAATTTTTAAGAGTTCAACTTATCCCATTGTTGATATTAGTAACTGAATTTTAACCATTCTTAACCAGAATTAATGCATACATCGTACAGATTCCCTCATTATGAACATTTTTGACGAGTTCTATGTTTCATTGGTACTTACTTACTTACACCTGTTACTCCCAATGAAGTATAGATCGTCCACCAATATTCTCTAACCCATTCTGTTCTAGGCTTTCCTTTATAGTACTTTCTTTAATGTATACCCTATCCACATCAAGCACTTCCTGATTTCTTCCTCCATTGAAATTTGGTTTGTTCTCTCCTATAGTTGATTGTTGATGATAGTGTCTAATCAATGGATCCGAAGTATTTTGCATAGACAACTGTTAATAAACACGTATATCTTCTACATGATTACTTTTTTTAATTCTTCAAGTTTCCACCTCATACAATAGAACTGTCTTAATATTTATATTGAAAATTTTGACCTAACTGTTAACTACAATAAATCAACCAGTCAGTCAGTAACAACGTAGAACTTTGTACGTACGTACATCAGTTCGAGTTGCCACACAACATTAGCACAGAGATACAGTTGCCGACTCAAATTCCGTGGTGGTAGAGGTAGTTAGAGTATAAGCAGTAATCGGAAACAGTAGGGCTTGAAGATGTTATTCAAGAAGTATAATACAGTGAAATAAATTTGGAAAGACAAAAAAGGGACCGAAGGATTCAGTAGATTAGAATTTAGGAGAACACAGAGTGGATGCACTTGCGCCATTGCAAACGATTTTGAGCCATGTCATTCAGGGTCTCTAACCATCGGTTGTTATCATCTCGTGGTCCCCAACCAGGTAGTCTACACCTATCAACATGACTCAGTTCACTTGTCAGTGACTTCATGGACTTGTGCCATGTTTTGGTTTGGCCGCCCCTAGCTTTCTTCCAACCTACTCCTATACCACTGAACATAGCATGTCGAGGCAGTCGGTGGTTGGGCATACGTAACACGTGTCCCAGCCATCTCAACTGATGAAGTTTCACTACTTCATCAATTAATTTTCCATCCTTACCTAGTACACGTTTCTTAACAACTGCATTACTTACTCGATGGTCCCAGGATATACGAGCAATGCTTTGAAGATATCTATGATCGAATACTAGTAACTTACGAATATCCTCTACTCTTACATGCCATGTTTCACTGCCATAAAGTAGGACGGAACGAACTGCTGCGCAGTAAACACGTCCTTTGGTTGATAAACGGATATCTCGCCTATGCTATAAATGACATTTTTAGGGTCGATCTTTTCTAACCCCTTCCTTCTTTGTGCGAAGGCAGCATCGCTGCAGATGTTGGTTGTCCGAGAGAAACACCTTACTACTGTCATACCCCTCTACAGTCACCAGTACGACTTCTCCCTCAGACCTTGAGTTGTTACTTTTAGTCTTATCATACTCCAATCGACCTACCTGGCATAATAGAACCTACAGGAACATATGTTCCAACCAATATAGCTCGGTTGGGTCATCATGGTAGGCGAGTCCGATCACCGCGTCAAGGTAGCAGCTACGGTCGGGTAACTCCAATAAAGTTCAATTTTATCATATTGTACATGTGTTTAGTTTCTCTTCATTTACTATCTAATTGTTTTGTTTTCCTTCTTTTTTTTTCTTTTTTCTTTTGTTACTAGATATTAAAGATTCATCTAAAATTTTATCTCCTAATCATACACTTTCTAAACAAATATCTAATTCAATGATAGAATTGAATTGTTTTAATTCATTTGAAAAATCAAAACATTTAAAACTTTATAAATCAACCAGTGATCCATTTAATCTTAATAATTTGATTAATCATTATTCAATGAATAAAAAGATTATACACCATTGGAAACAATTACCAAAATTATCATTCATATCTTATTATTATTCATCTAATACAAATTCATTATATCATATCAATTCAGATAATGATGATGATGATAATGAATATTATAATTTTATTAATATACCATTATTAAGTACTATACCAAGTGATCATTTATCTTGTGATCAATCATTTGATCAATATTATCATAAATCAATCAGAACTAAAAAATATTCTAATCATTTATCATTAATCAATAAAGTTCCGTTACAGAATTCGAAAAGAAAACCTTTACATGAAATTCAATCAATAAATCATGATTAGAATTAGTTACCAATTGTTATTGATATCATTCAAGTGAGATTGATATTTTCGTTTTTTTTGTCGTTTATTTTAAAGTTACATTACTTGTTGCCCCCAAATGCCCTGGTATGGCCGAGAGCGGGGTAGGTTCGCCCTCCCCCTCGAAATACTCTCACACGGCCGCGCGTATACAGCCTCTGCCAGGGAAGTTCTACTCACTGCCTTCTCGTGGCGGGGGTGTTGTTTACGAAAATGTGAGGACGAAAATCGAATGTCCGGCGCTTTAATCGGATTCCAAACCAATGGTGCACATGGGCACTAGTATTCTGCGGGAACAAATGGCGTATGAACCAATTTTCGGTCACCGGCTACCATGGGACTGCATCTCCTTACGATGCTCCACTGCCTTGTGGGTTAGACCTTTAGGTCAAAGGTTCGGGGTGTGGCCCCCTAAGATAACCACCTGCTTCGGTCTGGGCACCCGGGCAGCATCACAGCCCACACGCAATTTATGAACTGAAATTGTGTGGCGCATATATATTTGGCGCACTCCTGTACCAATATATATGTGTTCAAATAAAATAATAAAAAAATACATTACTTGTTCCGAGAATTCTGTTCTATTAAGGTTGGTTTCAATGAAAATGTGGAAAATTCATTATAATCTTCTAAGTGTACTGGTACGACTGAGGGTGAAGAGAATCTGCTCTCCCTCTCATATAGTCACGCGTATATAGCCATTAACAGGGAAGTCCTACTTATTGGATTCTCACAGTAAACGTGTTGTTTACGAATTAAAGAGAATGAAAAGTGATTTTCTGGCACTTTAACCGAGTTGGTGGATATAGAGGATCTATCAAGGGGAGTTGGGAAACGTTGATTCTAAACCAATGGTGTATATGGGTTCCAGGACACTGAGGGAACACATAGCGTATAAACCATTTATTGGTCACTGGATACCATTGAACTGCAACTCCTTACGTTGTCTCCACTGCTTTGTGGATCAGAGCTTTAGGTCGAAGGCTCTGAGTGTGGCTACTTTAAGAAAACCACCTAGTTTGGTTTGACCACCCGAGCAATATTACTGCCCACACACAATTAAAGTAACTTGTGTGGCGCATATGTATTTATGTATTCAAATAAATAAATAAATAAATAAAGAGCAAATAACAGTAGAGAATGAAATTTATATTTATGATAATTAAGAAATGAAAAAATATTGGTCAACATAAGCGTCACTTATATGCTTAATGAAAAAATTGGTAAATTAGAAAACACCCTTTCTGATTGTTGGTCAGTATGGTAGAAAATTCTAAAATCTAAATATTAAATCCAAGCTGTTTTTTGGGTGATCAAACTACTATACAAACATTAACTGGTTAATATCAGAAGGCGTTTTGTGGATATTATAGTAATTTTAATAGTTCAAATCATGAGTCAATTGAAGCTAGACCACCATGGAAAACCCGGGAGCACTGAACAGCCGTTTCGTCCTACTATGGGACTACTCAGCAGTGAGATAGTAACTCAACTCGCAGAAGACAATGGTGGATGTATCGCTCAATTTTGTGGATTAGTTGAAGTTAAACATTAACACCGTTCGATGCCGGCCGGCTCAGCGGTCTAATGGTTAAGTGACCGAGCGCGAGGCTGACAGGTCCTGGGTTCGAATCCCGCAGATGGAGTTGTGGGTGCTCGTTGCTGAGGAGTCCCACAGTTGGACAAAGCGGCCATCCAGTGCTTCCAGGTGTGACATGGTGGTCTAACTTCAATAGAGTCATCATCTCAGCTATTAAAATTAACGTATTAGTTCATTACTTTTCATTGTTTGTCTTTTAGGCTTAGCCCAAATTAAACTTAACTTTTAAAGGATAAATTTTTCATGTGTTTGGGTGACGCGTGAAATATTGGTCTGTAAACTGTTCATTAAAAGGTTTGTTAATGTACTGTAATTCGTATAAATTTACAACGGTTGATCCTCACTTACTCTGTTGTATTCATTTGTTTAAAACCATCACAGTGATGTATGAAATTTTCAAGTCATATGATGGCTAGTGTTTTTAAAAAAACTGGTTTTGTCTAGACTATTAGTTTCCATTATATCCACTAAACTTAGAAACCACGCGTTGGCAACTTTATTTATCTTGGAAGTCTGATCAGTCATAATAGGTTGGTATCTCACGAAATCTCAGCACGCATTCGAAAATGTTCGTTTAACTTTTGCCAACTTATGTCGTCTATTGCGAAGGTGAGATATCCATCTATCAATAAAAAGGACGAGTATTCTGTGTGGCAGTCCGTTCTGTTTTAATTTACGGCAGCGAAGCATGGTCGTTAAGAGTAAAAGACACTCGTTAGCTACTACTATTCGACCACAGATGCCTTAGAAATATAGCTCGCATCTACTGGGAACACCGAGTAAGTAATAGTGAGGTTGGACGTAGGGTACTCGGGAATAATGGTAAATCAATTGGTGAGGTTTTGAATGTTTATCGACTGAGATGATTTTGCCACGTGTTGCGCATGCCTGAACTCCGATTACCACGACGTGCAATGCTGACTAGTGTTGGGAATGGTTGGAAGAATGTTAGGGTCGGACAAACCAAAACGTATCATCGGTGCTTGAAATCACTAACTTCTGGTCTGAACCATGTTGGTAGATGCAGACTACTTGATACGAGTTCGCGTGACTATCGTAACCAATGATCGAAGACTCTGTGTGACGTGGCTTAGAATCGATGACAATGGCGTTGGTGTATACAATCTGTCTTCCCTTAAACTAAGCGATTAAAATCGCTTCATATCTTAGTTGCTGCGAACTAATTCTTTCTTCCTGTACTTTATCCTTATATGAAATCTTTCTTTTATGTACTACCACCATTGAATTAAATACTTCTATGAATTTGTTGTTTATCTCGTTGTGTTAATGCGGTATGGCAACTTGAACCGATACATCTATGTGCGTGATCCTACATTGTACCTGGCTGACTGACTGACCGGTATTTCGTACACTTAAAATTCAAATAAACGATGATGGAGACTTTAAAGACGATACTTTTTTTTAGATTTCCTGCTGGTTTACAGTGCGAAGCGGTTAGTTATATAAGGGAGTACGTTTGTCTAAATTTTTTTCTATAAATTAATAATTATCTTGAAGTTATTTCCTAATACAGTGGTTGTCCATAATTATAAATTGTTTTGTTAGTGTATGTACCACCTCCTTCTTTCATTATAATTTCTACCAGGAATGCTTTATAGTGCGTTAACTATGCACTTTGATGCCTGGTTATTATCTTGTGCAACACTTTTTTACCTAAAAAATTGATGAACAAATCTTTATTGTCGATCTGGAAATAGTTTTGTTTTATCACTATCAAGTGCCTGGAGATAGAAACAATCTTCGTTTGTTATCCCTTTGAACAAATGTCAGAGTACCTTCTTCAGTGGCGTGATTCGAAATGTATAAAACAGTCTCAATCTCTTCAGTACAATTAAAACGTTTGTCAATGTATTAAATATGTGTAACTACTGTCTATTTCGATGAGCAATGCTTGCTAGCGAAGAAGTAGGGTAAAATAAAGCTATGGATGGTCGATTCAAAGTGTGGAATCAGTTCACAAAATCAATGACCGTCTGTGTGAACTATGTTGATAGATGCAACCTGCGTGGTTGGGGTATGTATGATACCTCAATTAATGATTAGAGACGTAGGGTGACGTGGCTGGGAAACATCCATATTGGCCCAAATGCAGTTTCCCGGTGTGTCTCTCTAGACCTTAATTTCCAGTATCTCTCCATAAATCCTAGCAATAAGTCAAATGCAATAATCGAATACCGAATGTATACAGCACATTTAGTTTATTTTTTTTAGAAGATTTTGAATGTGTTTTTCAATGATGAGTATATCAGCTGAATATCCAATAGTCTCAAGAATATATTGTCACACTGGATCTGTGATTTGTTCAAAGGGCAGAATCCTTCATCTTTACAGTAAACATTTGATTAGTTGTTGCTTCTTCGACTAGAAAGTTTATCAGAACAACATTTGACATACAGTGAAAGTCTATGGAATTAATGTTCCAAGTATTATGAGTATTACACAAATCAATTTACCAAATAGACAATTAAATACTAAAGAGAGTATGAACGATGATTGGTGCTCTCTTTAAGATAATAAAGGGGAACTAATATTCAAACCTTTCTAAATAATTAAGTTACATTATCCTAATGTATATTAGAATAAAAACGTTTATTCTAAGCTATTTCTTTTACTATAAACACTTTACTTAGTTAATTATCTCTAATGTATATTAATGTATTTGTTTTTTTGTATTTATTACATCATGCTGATGCATTTCCGAAGAAAAAATTTCATCGTCACTACTACTATTATCATCATCATCATTAATTGGAAACTAATTCACTCAATTCTATTTGTTGTTGCCATCCTCATTATCCTCTGGATTTTATTGATTTCAATTTCATTGTTTTCATTGATAACATCAATCTCATTCAAATAATTATCACCATCATCACCATCACCACCACCACCATATGTCTATATAGATCTTGAGAGATTTTTAAAAAAGAAAGATAGTGAAAGAGAGCGAGAGAGAGAGAGGGAGAGTAATGAAAAACACATTGTACCTTAATGTGTTCCAAATCTATTTAGTTTTTCTTTTTTGTTTAAGAATAATCACACATTAAGCTAATGTGAATGTATCATGTGTAAATGTTCCTGTTCATCTTTTTATCCATTTCATCATAATTCTTCGATAAAACTTCCACTATTATTATGATTACTACTATTGTTATTAATAGTAGTATTAGTATGATTATATAATTCATTGTTATAATTCTGTTTTTATTGTTGTTCTCGTTTTTATCCTGGTTTTGTTTGTTTGTTTATTTCTATTGCCCCCCCCCCTTAATCCCATTTTGTTAGTTTTGTTTTATATTCTAGTGTTAATTCACTTATTGTTAATCTACTCTTTTAAATAATCAGAGTAATAACAGTTAGT